ATGCTGATCAACAGCCAGCAGAGTGTCCAAGAGATCAAGAAGGCTAATGGCATCCTAGTTATATCAGAAATAATGTGGGCAAGCGGAACCAGGAGAGTGATTGTCTCTTTGTAGGCAGTAGTTTAGGTATGTGTTCAGTTTTGGGCTGCTTACTACAAGATGTACACTGAGTTATTTGAGAATGTGCAGAGAAGCTGGTGAAGGGACTAGAATGGAAGACATATGAGGAGTGTCTGAGGAAACTGAGTTTGTTTAGTCTGGAAAGGAAGAGGCTGAGAGGAGATCTCATTTCTCTGTAAGTATTTGAAGGGATGTTAGAGTGAGGTAGGTGTTGGTCTCTTTTCTCAGATGGGAAATGATGACGTGAGGTTTTAGGTTGCACCAGTGGAGCTTTAGAATGTATATCAACAAATTCTTCATGGAGATGATGGTCAAGCTGGGCTTTTTATGGCAGTAGTGAAGTCTCCATGGTGTTTAAGAGATACATGGATGTGACTTTAAAGGGCTTGTTTTAATGAAAGGATACAGTAGGTTAGACTGATGGTTGGACTTAATGTTCTTAATTATCTTAATGTTGTTTTCCAAAATATATAGTTCTGTGATTCTTGCTGCATTCAGTTTCAAGTCACTGAATTCCTCAATTTTTAAAAAACTTATATGGCAATGTTATATCACAGTGCAAAAATACCCGTTCCCATACTTACGTTAATTATACGCCTTTATATCAGTATATGGGTTGAGAAGAGCCTCTTATGAAGTGAGATAGATGATAGAAGAATTAGTGATTCTTAACTTTTGGATAACTTATTGACGTGTATAATACCTATGACCTTTAGATAGTTTCTCAATACAATGTATGAATGAAATGAAGTAATGGTAGACTTGTAATTTTTGTGCAGTTACAGAACTTGGAAATCTTGTGATGTAAAACTACTTGAAAATGAGATGTGTTGAAAAGCTGACAGCCTGTCTAAATGTTCATTTTACTGGATGACATATCAATGCTTAAATGTCTGACGTTTGATTTAATTAGGATCAAGTGTACTTGGCATGATAAAAAAGCTGCTGTTTTCAAATACAGAAAGAAATACAGCAGGAACAACAATGTTAAGATTGTTTTGGTGTACCTGTTTTGTGTGAGAAATGGCGATTAACAGTGAAATAAATTTTAAAAGGCATCAGTCTTTAGTAATTGGTGCATACTTGACTCAGATTGGGAATAATTGTTGATCGCTGAAGATTTTTAAGAAAGAAGAAAAGAAGATATGAAGAGATTTGTTTGAAAAATAGTAGTTGCTAATGAGATTGACTTATATTAATATACATCAAAAAATTTGCTTTTTTAACAGTGATGCACAAATGATCCACTTTTTGAGCTATTATTATCTGTCAAATAGGAAATAACTTCTCTGAGGTCATGACAGTTCTTTGTTTCCCCTGTGCTCGTGGATACACTTAGTAAAATGCACTAGTATGGGATGTCACTTAGATTGTCAGGGTGGTTCCTGTGGAGTGCTTAGATGATACTCAGTAGTAATAATAGCCACTACTTTAGTTCTTGGACTGATGCTTATAAATTCTGGTGAAAAATTCTCCCAATGTCAAAAAAAAAAAAAAAAAAAAAAAAAAAAAAAAAAAAAAAAAACTTCCATTGTCTTTTACTTAATTTACAAATGAAACCATCTCAAGGTATGTAATGTATTATTTTGAAGTGGGGGAAAAAAAAATAAATTAATAATAAAGTGATAAATAAAATTTCTGTATTTATAGTATTTTATTTATCATATACCATGAATTCTGATGTAGGAATGTTTCATAATTTCAGCAATTTTTCCAAATGGTCGCATATTTGCTACTGTACACATAGAACTACATTAATAAGGTCCTCCTTTTAATCTTTTCTTGTTTCTCATTCTGCTCATTATTTTTTTAAATCTTTCTCCTTTCTGCAAATATAGAGTACAGTTACACTTGAGCACAATGAAAACAACTAGATGAGTAATTTAATTGCAATTAATTTCCAGTGAGATTTTAATTTTCCTATTGGGATAACATTAACTGACAGTTTTGGCTAAAAAAAAAAGGCTAAAAACACCAAACCCACATTAACTGTCTCAGCTTTGGAAAAAAAAAAAAAAAAATTCAAATGAAAAAAGGATTTTTCATTTGTACAACTTAGTATCTGTCTCTTTCAGTTTTGCAAACGTAGTTGCTGTTTCCTGTAGTCTTTTGTTATGAAAGGAAGGAGTAGATGCAGCCAATAATAGAGAAAATTGACTTCCTGTACATTCTGGTCACAAAGATTGCATTATGGTGGTAGTAACAGAGCTTTTTTTTTTTTTTTTTTTTTTTTTTAAATCTCTCCTTATGGAAGCCTTTGAGTTGTAATATTTGAAATAAACTAAACTTAAACAAACAAACAAACAAACAAAACAACAACAACAAAAAACTTTTAAATTAAATAACAGTGTTCCTAAGGATTGAAGCAGAGAAAAAAATGGAAGAAAAAAAAAATTAGATAAACAGAGCAGAAAGATCACTAACATACATCATTTGATTGTACAAAAAAAGTTTCAAAAAAAGATTCAGACCTTTCAAAAAAAATGAAGTGAATGAAAATATAATTAATTAATTTTAAACCACAGCCAACATAATAAAGTCTGATTCCTTCCTAAAAAAAATAAAATAAAAAATTTTTAAAAAAACCATTGATTTAATTTTGAGGTGTAATGTAATTTCAAGTGAAGACACCTAAATTTGTGTGTCAGTTTAGATGTCTACATGTGTACTGCATAATGGTCAGAGGAAATGCAGAGCCTATCTGAAAAAATATTTTAATTGTTTAAGAAGCTGTTTTTTGGCTCTGGTTTGCAGGTTATTTCTAGTAAGATTCTCAGTCTGTTCTTATTCCAGCATAAACAGTTGGCAATGATTGTTACAGGAGAACAAACCTCACAAAAATAACTACCAAGTCTCACTGGCAGCAAACTGCCCATAAGCCATTTTTCTTTTGTGTTTTTGTGTGTATATTTGTTCATGTTTCAAATAAACCCTCAGTCTTATTTCAATTATTTAGATGCCCTATACAAATTACTCTTGTGTAATGATCATAACATTTCATTTTTCACTTTGACTCTGTAGTGCCAGAGGTGGGAAAAACAGCAGTGAAAAAGCAAGTACAGATTTTTTCTCAGTGACATTTAATACCATATAAAGAAGCTCGGAAGAAACTATGCCCTGTCTATTTGCAGTAATAGCTGATCATGAAGCATAATATAATTATGCTCCTACTCTTTTTTTGGACCTGTAATTTTTAGAGCTTTCCTGTAACCTAATTGCTTGCTATGCTACATACTGCTCCAAATGCATAGCCACTTCTTTCTCAAAGCATAGGAAAATGTGCAGCCAACATATATTATCATAAGTAATGATAATATTATCTTATCAACCAAGAAAGTGGTAAAAAAAATGGTTTTAAAAATGTCATATATGATTTCAATAAATTATATCAGTTTATCTCTGAATCCTTGTTATAGGTCTGATCATATCTTACAGACACAAGAACAAAATTACACTTTGAAAGGACATCAGATTTAGAGTCAAGCCGGTTATGAATTAGTTTAAGAATGAATTGATTGTCTGATGTGTGAGCATGCAGGAAGTATAAATGAGGCATACTAGAAGAAAAAAAAATATATATATATATATATATATATATATACTTGATATTTCAGATTTTTCAAGCATTCCCCTTGTGGTACAGATGAGAAGAAAGGTGGGTGGAGCAGACTTAATATGTCCTTGATCTTGGGTAGAAGAAGTTTAAATTAGACTGACTGAAGACAGTGAAAAGGATAGAGGGACTTGTTTGTAGATGCTCACCAGTTAGTTATTGTGACACTAGGTTTTTGACTTCTTTATTTGGCTTTTGCTTCCAATTGTGGCCAAGTTTTTTGAAAAGGACATGACCGGGTGAAACAGTCTAGAGTGATGGCAATCATAGTGCAGCTCAGTGATGCAGTGACAGGAGTCTGCAGAGATGGGACCTTCCTTCCTACAGTGTTTACTGCAGCTCGGGATATTGAATACTTGAGGCCAGTAGAAGAAACCTGGCCTCTTCCATGAAACAGTAGTGAATACAGATTTGTGTATATACTTTTTTGGAGAGCTAGTTGCTTTAAGTCATACCATAGCGATGGTTCTGCTCAGTTTACCATTGTACTTTTTGAATTTAATTAATCATTTTTACAAAGCAAAATCTATATCCAAAATCAAGAGCGTGAAAATATGAGATATGTTTGCATAGATTGAGAAAAGACAAGAGGAATACGAGTATTATTTTTTTCCCTGCACCCACTATTTGCTAGAATAGATGTTTGGGTAACAACTAGAACAGAAATTGATTAATTTAAGCATACTTTGAAAAAGTTATTGCATGTCCCTGAAAAGGAAAATTCAGGACTACTTAAAACTGCCTTTATTTCAGCCAGATGGGCAAGCATAACATTTACGTGCTGGATATGGATATTATATATAATATAAATATAAGTATAAATATAAATATAAATATAAATATAAATATAAATATAAATATAAATATAATATAATATAAAACAGTGTTATTCACATTATGTTACTTACCCTATTGTGCAAAAAGGTATCGAAGTGCATAAGGAAATTTGCTTTGATAACTGAAACATTGCAATTTAAAAAAAGGAGTTACTAGATCTTCTGTTACATTAAGTGGATGAAAATGAAAGAAAGAAAAGCTTGTGTTTGCTTGGCTCAAGCCATATTTTATACTAAGGAAGCTGGCATAATTGTGACGCATTTCAGTGGGCAAATTTTCATAGAAAAAAAAGGAACAAAATGCATTCCCATGATAGATAATGAATAAATACTACTGCCTTGCTTGGAATGCCCTTATAAAAATGCTGTGCTTCTAATTAGAGATGTGTAGCATCTACATCATTAACCTTTTATTTCATGATTCTTTAAAGCTTCTATAGCATCAACCTGTAATGATCCTGGAACACCACAAAATGGTACCAGATATGGAGACAGCAGAGAGCCTGGGGATACTACTACCTTTCAATGTGACCCTGGTTATCAGCTTCAAGGACAAGCTAAAATTACATGTGTGCAACTGAATAACCGATTCTTCTGGCAACCTGATCCACCTACATGCGTAGGTAATGAGATGATGTTATTCTCCATTTAAGAATGATACAGATTATATTTATTATTCAGCTGGTGGGTGATGTGTAAATAATAATATGGAAGTGTTTACTAAAATAAGTGTTTACTTGCATTATTGGTAAATTAAAAGTTGTTAAATAAAAATCAAAAGATATTTGGTGTATAAAGGTCTGGATGATTTACGCACTCTCTGATGTGCAAATTCTATTTCTCCCTATCCGGTAAAAATAAAGAAGAGGAAAGGGAAGGGGGCAGAGGAAAAGGAAAGGCAAAAAAGAAAAAAGTATATTTGGGGGAAAAAGTGTGAACAAATCTTTACTTTTCCTTATATTTAAGGTGACCTTGAAGGGGAAAGCAGATAAAAATAGTCTTTACTGCAGACATGAAAATATTAGAAACTTTAGTAGTTCTCTTAAAGGCGTTATATATCAGTTTTAAAATTACTATAAAGTCTTTATTTTAGTATGCTGCTGATTACTTCCATTTAATAAGTGTATTTATCTCTGAACAATCTCTGTGAGACTTCTGTTCCTGATTTAGTGCTTTCTGCTCCATTCATATCTCATAGTTTTGATCATGGTTTTCTCAGGTTGAATTATCAGAACAGCTTAGAACACGTAAATCAAATGGCTGCTTATGAATAAAGCAAAAAAGAAATACATCTAATAAATAGGAAAAATTAGACCAAAAACAATGATTAAAATATTAAAACTATAGACAGATTGATTAAATTGATTAAAAATTAAAATAAAAGTTTATTCTGTTTTCCTAAAATAGAAGGAGTATTCTCATGAACATTTGCCTTTTCATTACGAGTGTTCTTTCAAAGTAAATATTTTGCTTATGATTTACAGTTTTGGAGCTTTTGAATGAACCTAAAGTGAAACATTTGTTCTATGAATTATTCCAACCACAAACGGGCATTCAGTCATAGAAGCATTGAGTAAATCAGATTAGTATAGATGCCCAAGCCTTAGTACCGACAGCTTGATTCTACAGATGTGTTCAGTCTGCATGACTTGGTAATATATGTGCAACCATGCTGACTACTGTGCTTTTGAGGTAGGCTTCTGTGAAATCATTACCTTTGAAAGCTGGACTTCTTATGTGTTTAAAAGTAAAGCTTAATTTATGGTAAGTAAATTAATATATTTGATTTTTTTTATTTTGAAAATAATTTTACTGACTGAATCAGCACTGCTTTGTATTATATCTTTGACTAAAAAGGGCTGCATTGTGAATTACACTGTTAAAGTACTTCCTGTACATAAGAACTTCAGTTTGACAGAGATGGGACCATGTAATAGCAAGAATATACAGCATTTCCTATTCAACTTAGTATTTTTATTCCTTTATGAAAAGCTTTTCTTGTGCTTACTTTGAATATCAAAAAAGCTCATTTTATTTCTGGAAAATACAAAAAAGTTTTCTAGGTGGGAGTGTGAAAGCTATGTTCAAATTTTTTTTTGTTATTAAATGTAGAAGTCAATTCACTTCTATTCAACAGCTGACATACACTTGTGAATTTAACATGTGACCATATTCGTATTTCTTTTTACATTGTGACAGCTGCATGTGGAGGTAACCTGACAGGCCCAGCAGGAGTTATTTTATCACCTAACTATCCACAGCCGTATCCTCCTGGGAAAGAATGTGATTGGAGAATAAAAGTAAACCCTGACTTTGTCATTGCCTTGATATTCAAAAGGTACTGTTTCTAGATTAATGCCTCTGTTTAACAGAATTTCAAATCTCATACCTTAAAATGGCATCACTTAGCAGTTCTCAAAACTTCTAACAATATGTGTTGGAGCATACATCTAGTATGTGCTATAGCTTTGCTTCAAAATAACACAAAATAACATAGGTATATGTCACTTTTGACATCAAATACATACCTGAACAATAAAAAATTGCTGTAACCTCTGGAAAAAAAAAAAAAAAAAAAAAAAAAAAAGCTTTGAAAAACTGTCCATTTATGGAAATGCTTGATTAACATTTTTTATAGTAGAGATTTGCACTGTACTGCCTAAAATTCAGTTATTAAAGTTTCTTTTTACAAATGCAGGTTGAATACACTGGTTGGAATGCAGAAATCAGGCAATAAAAAAACAAAACAAAACAAAACAAAAACCTACAAATGTAGTAATATCTTGTCTCCTTTGTCAAGAGATAAAAGATATTTGAATAACTCTATGTCATTGTGATAAAATAAGTTTTATTTACTCATGATACCATCATCAACCTATATTTTTTGTGTATGTTTTTAACACAAATTGAAGTTCAGGAATATAATGATATTCATTTTTCCAGTTTGTTATTTAAATTTGAATCAGGTCTATGTGATCATCTTGGCAAGTGAAAATTTTTTTCTTCCTTTCATTTTGTATCCTAAATTTGGTTTTTAAGCTAAGAGTAATATTGCTTTCTGCTTCAATAGGTGTAGACCAATTATGACTATTTTACAAAAAGAAGTACAAGTTCTGAGGGTTTTGGTGTGCACAATTTGCACTCTTTTTTAGAAAAAGAAAAAAAAGAACAGTTTTATCTGTTGACTGACTGCAACATGCTTTCTAACAATATATTGATATGCAGTAAATAAAAGAATCAAAGCATGAGGAATCTGAAAGTTATCTAATCAATAATAATAATTTAAAAAAATCTGTTCTTTGAGTATTTTTTCAAGCAGTATTCAAGAATGAAAATAGTTAGCCATAAATTATGCTCTTGGAAATATCTCATGATAGGTATATGCCTAAATAATCAGCTAAAATGTCCTATTTGAAGTAAGACGAAAGGAACTTAGTTACTCTGTATTCAGATTTGTTTGTAAATCCTATTTTAGAGAATATGAGATATGAGAAGCATAATGGAATTTGCAGTTCATGCTATAATTCCAGTACATGCTATAAATAATAGCATTCCAGTAGTCACATTTGACTGACCTAGTCTTTCCTAATTTTGATATTCTGCACAAGAAGTTCTTAAATTTCAATACAGAATAAATCTTCTTTAGAAATCTGAAAGAAAAAGTTATGCTATAGCTTCTGTATCTTTTGATGCTACATTTTACAAAACTATCTGAATATCTTGGATACTAGCCTGTCTTCTGGTTGTTATATAGGTCATTTTAAGCTTTCGATTATGGCATTTGTAAATATTTTCAGAAAGATGGACAAAAAGAAAGAAAGAAAAAAGAAGGAAAATTGGAATATAACTTAACTTATTGTCACTGTTATCTGTGTATGTATATATAGTTACTAAACTTAAATTGAAAGCTTTAATTACTTATAATTTTTAACAAATAAGATATTTACAGTATAAATGGATTAGAACAGTAATATAGATTCCTATCTAATGAAAAGATGTTTGAGTACACACTGGTAACCTTGTACTAGAGAATTAAATTGAGATAGAAATATATTTAATGTTGGAACTCACTACACTATCACAACATACCTCTAGTTTTATATAAAATGTCAGTGAAGAAATAACTCTCTGCAATCCTTTCAGTAACTTGTTTGAATTGTCTTAGACATCTGCAGAATCCACTTTCTTAATGTACAAGTTTCTCTTCATTTTATCTTTTTTTTTTTTATTCTCAGATAGTATGCCACAGCTGAGTCCTGAATTATTCTCAAGGAAATGGCTTTGAGAATATAGAAGTGTTATACTTAGGATGAGAATGTGAACTAAGAATACAGAGATGCAATGTATTTTATCAAATGTGTTTTGGCTACAGAAAGATTGAAAAACGTTACCCTGTAGAACAGAATAGTAAAATTGCTTTTCCTTGTTCCTGATCTCTAGACTTCTCTTTCTTTTCATTCTTCTTACTCCCAACTACAATTTCCCTGTCTTATCAAAAGCTTCAAAACATTCTTTTTTGGCTTCTCCTACCTGTTGAAAATAGAACATAAAATATTCTTTATTATGTGAAACCACTTGCATTTGACATTACTTAGGAAAAGGGTAACACAAGATAAGGGCCTGGAAGGAAGAGGGGCCCAAGAAAGCAGTGCATCCCGGGAAAAAGGAAGTCTGGCAAGAATGCCAGCAGGCCTCCATGGATCAACAAGGAGTTCTTAATTAAGTGCAAAAAGGAAGTCTATAGAGAGCAGAACTAGGAACGGGTTACCTGGGAGGACTACAAAGATGTTTGAGCAGCCAGGTCTCAGGTTAGGAAAGCTAAAACTCAGTGTCATGGTTTTATGTTCTTTGGTTTTCAGTACTCCACATCATAACATCATGTAGTGCACTGGGAGTTAAAGTGTTAATGCTCCAATTCCAGGAACTTATTCCTATACATTACAGAAATCATGGGATCTGGCCCTTCTGGGTGAGGCGGTCTCTTACTGCCTTGCAGTGGGTGCTGGAGGGTGCTTTCCTAGCCATTCGAAGCTTTTCAGGTTTGACTCAGTCTCAGGAACTCTCTCCTATCTTATTTGATTTATTAGTCTCAATTTCAATTAGATTGTATTATATTGTGTTATCTTGCATTCTGATATCATAGTTAGTAAAATAAGTTTTCCTCCATAGATCATTGCCGCTGTTTTTTTTTCTTCCTTCCTTGAGCCCAGCTCCCATCTCCCTATCCCTTTTCCTTTTCCCTTCCCATTTTGTGGGGCCAGGGGGGAGGGGCGGCAGGGGCCTACTGTCCCCCTGTCACAGGCAGAGATTGATCTAGTTTACTCCATGACACCCAGGTATAATTAAAACTAGTCAAGGACATAAGGGGAGCAAGAAGAAATTCTACAGGCATATCAGTGATAAAAGGCCAGGGAAGATGTGGGCCCTCTCCAGAGAACTGGTCACAAGGGCTGTGGAGAAAGCTGAGATGCTCAATGACTTCTTTGCCTCAGTAGCAGGGGCTCTAGCCACAGCATCCAAGCTGCAGAAAGCAAAGGTAAGAACTGGAAGAAGAAAGATCTGCCTGCTGTAGGTGAAGATCAGGTTCGAGACCTTTAAAAAACCTGAAGGTTCACAGCTCCTTGGGACTTGACAAAATCCATCCCTGGGTTCTGAGGGAACTGGTGGATGAAGTTACCAAGCTGCAATCCCTCATATTTGAAAGGTCATGGCAGTCTGGTGAGGTTCTTACTGATTAGAAAAGGGGAAACATAACCCCTACATTTCCCTAGAAGGAAAAAAAAGAAAATCCAGTAAACTACAAGCCAGTCAGTCTCACCTCTGTGCCTGGCAAGATCATTGATGCTCCTGAAGGGCCTACACATGGAAAATAAAGATGAGGTGACTGGTAACAACCAACCTGGCTTCACGGTGGCAAGTCATGCCTGACAAACTTAGTGGCTTTTTATGACGGAGAAATGGAACTGACATCATCTACCTGGACTTGTGCAAAGCATTTGACACTGTCTTGCATGACATCCTGGTCACCAAATTGGAGAAAAATAGATTTAATGGATGGAGCACTCACTGGATAATGAACTGGTTGAATGGTTGCACTCAGAGAACAACAGTCAACAGCTCAGTGTCCAAGCGTACACCGGTAATAAGTGGCGTTCCTCAAGGATTGATGTAGGGAATGGTGTTATTTAACATCTTTGTAGGTGACATGGACAGTAGGATGGAGTGCACCTTCACTTCACTTCATCTGCACTTGGTGCAGTTGACACCAAGTTGAGTGGTGCGGTCAACACCCTAGAGGAAAGGGATGCCATCTACAGGGAACTGGACAGTCTTGAGAGGTGGGACCATGCCAACTTCATGAAGTCCAATGAGGCCAAGTGCAAGGTCCTGCACCTGGGTCAGGCAATCCCAATACAGGTAGAAAATGGCTTGAGAGCAGCCGTGAGGAGAAGGATTTGGGAGTGTCAGTTGGTGAAAGACTCAACCTGAGCTTGCAGCCCAGAAGGCCAACTATATCCTGGACTGCATCAAGAGAAGCAGGACCAGGTCACAGGAGGTGATTCTGCCCCTCTACTCAGCTCTTGTGAGATCCCAGCTGGAGTACTGCATCCAGTTCTGGAGCCCCCAACACAAGAAGGACATGGGGCTGTTGGAGCAGGTCCAGTGGAGCTTCTAGTTTTTCAAGAATATTAATTATTCATTATAATTTCTCTGATTAATTCACTACAATTCTCTGATTAAATTTGGATATGAACAAAGGACAGGGCAGAGATCTATCCATAGGAAAGCATCTTGTTTCTAAGGTGGTGAATTTATGTTTCTGATGACTGGAATTAATATATTCTAGTTTAGTCAACTAAAAACTTGACTTAAATTGCTTAAATTAATAAGCAGGTTATCTGGATCATTCCTGTGATCAGTAGTAAGATGCAGTCTTCTGCAGCAAATGTTTCATCCTATCTTGAGAAAAGTATTTAACATAGGGAGGAGTATGTTTCTTCTTTATTGGCTGTGAATGGAGACTGCATAGTAGATCTTTGGCCTTATAACAGATCTTTTGGAAAGCTCAGTTTGTTCATATCAGTGGTAAGGAGAACTCCATCTAAAGACAATAAATTTTCACTTTGAATCATACTTAAAAGGCTTTTATTTCTGGAAAAGAAAATGTGTTAGGCAGAAGATTGGCAGCCACAGCTACAGTCTTGTTTAATTCTTGAAAAATAATCTAAGACTTAATTCTCTTTTTCTTTGCAGTTTCAACATGGAGCCCAGTTATGATTTTCTACATATTTATGAAGGGGAAGATTCCAACAGTCCTCTAATTGGCAGTTTTCAAGGCTCACAGGCTCCTGAAAGAATAGAGAGCAGTGGTAACAGTCTGTTTCTGGCTTTTCGCAGTGATGCTTCTGTTGGAATGTCAGGATTTGCTATTGATTATAAAGGTATTGTTCTTATCCTAATCTGTGGTAACATATGAAAGGAAAGAAATGTTAATTAGATTTACTGAGACTCAAATCTGTTTAATTCTAGATGTATTCATATTGAACTGATAGCCTTTTATATAAACACAGGTTATAAAAACAGTTTTCTGTAAACATGTTGAGGAACACAAACACAGAAGTCCTTTTTCATGAAATCTTTCACATTACTATGTGCATTTTCAGCTTCCAGGAGAAAGAAGAAAAAAAAAAAAAAAAAAAAAAAGGAGATACACATAAAAAGTAGCATTTGCAAAAAGAATTGTCTCACCTAATTGCAAGACATGACTGTTGGTGTTTCTTCGCTGATTCATACCAATAAACTTTCCTTTCCACATTGCTTTAGAATCTGCATATGTGTCTGTTGAATAACTATTGCAGGAGACCCTTTGGATTTTTGTTTTCAGGGAAGAATAGGGAGAACGGTAATTGCTTCCTGCCAGAGAATAGGTTATATTTTCTTTTAATTAAAGACATGCACACATAAACACACAAGTTAAAAGCTGGTTTGTCTCTGGTCCAGATGCTGTCTTTGACTTAATTGTCATCTCTGCATGGATTCAGTCAAGCTGTTTCTCATGTGCAAAGGTGCTGCCTCAGCTTCTTATTCTTGACAGTAGAAGTAAAATATATAATGTACATGTCAAAAATGTAAGAACAACAACAACAACAACAACAAAAACACCACTAAAGAGAACAGAAATGACAATGAAGCAGAGAGAGGTTAAAAAGAAATGTTACAGTATTTTTATATTTATTCTGCATCTTTTATCCATCACTACACATTATTCTGCATATTGGAAAGCATTTTCTTCCCAAAGCACTTGTCACACTGCCATAGATGATGAAATTCTTGTCTGTTTTATTCCTTTCTAAACTTGAAAAAAATATATATTTGTAAAAATAGAATACTTGCATATTTTAGCTTGCTGTGTATTTTCTATTCTCATTGTAGTCTGACTTACATGCCTTTATGCAGTCAAAATGGAAGAAAAAGAAAACGTTATCAAAACAACATATTTTGAAGTTACTATAATAAATAAGCAGTTTGTGCTTAATAATTCCACACTATAATTATGTTAATTAATATTTTCTTAAAAAATATATATTTTTTCATTCCTACTTATTGACTTATATGCCGATCCAGATTGGCTTTTTGAAAATTTCCCTTGAGTATTTTATTTAAAATAGTTGCTATATTAACATTTAATAAAGGAAGGAGACATGGTGTAAATTCTGACTATGAATTGCACTCTTGAACTTTTCAATAAAAAGACTTTGCATCCCATTTGTATTAGGTGCATCCTTCTCTCCTAGAGTTCAATTATTTAGCAAAATAATATTTTCAGAAGTTATCTGACATATTTTTCATAGGTTTTAAACTAACTGAGTTGTATTTAATTCATTGTTAAGAAAATGTATGACATCAACAGTATAATAATACTGATATTGTTTTTGTTTATTTACTTAGCATTCTAGCCCTTAACCCTACCATTTTTTAAGATCATCTCAATCATACACTTTAAACAAAATCATTTCTAATATACATTTTTCTCCTTTCTTTCTCTTTTCTTTGTATTTTAATATGCCTTATGAATGAAATAACCTTGTTAACATCAATGTCAACACTCACTTTGATTTAAAGATTTCATAAATATTAGGTAATTCCAGAAAGTAACATCTGTGATTACTTCACTACCCGCAAAGCTCCAGCTACTAGGTGTTCTTAAGTATAATAAATAAAGTAAGAGCATACTTTAAAATTTTTACTTATTTCATAGTATGACAGCTTTCTAACCAGATCTTACTGATACTGAGTATCAGTACAGATACTGAGTTTGGTTTAAAAATATCATAGTATTAAGGTGTGGATTCTAGAAATTACATTTTTTTCTGCACTACTATACTTCATGGAAGTCATTGAACCTTTGGGCAGTTCTGCTAACAATAGGTGGAAAAAAAATGATGCAGACTAGGTCTTTATGATTTTCTTGTCCACATAGCGAATTTTATGCAAATATTCATGATTTTGTAAACATATGGAAATGGAAAAATGACTGACTGGAAACAAAGCCATGAAATATATATATATATATATATTAAGCTGAAAATGTATATAGATTTATTTTCATTCACTTTAACAGAAAAGCCACGGGAAGCTTGTTTTGATCCTGGAAACATCATGAATGGAACAAGAATTGGAACAGACTTTAAGCTTGGTTCAACTATTACTTACCAATGTGACTCTGGATATAAAATTATTGATCCTTCAACTATTACATGTGTAATTGGTGCAGATGGAAAGCCAGCATGGAACAGAGCACTGCCATCTTGTAATGGTACCTACCATTATCTTACCATTTCTCTTGTCTCCTTAGTATTACTGAGAGTGTATTACTTGTGTTTTTGGTACAGTGGCACATGCAGTTCTTTGGGAGATAGAATTAGAGACATTGATGGTTGTATGTAGCAGAGATAGGTAAAATCTAATGCAGGTTCTTAGTTGATGTCCTTCCAGCATGGGCCTGAAAATACAGAAGACATTACATACAGAGATATATAAATATACATACATACACACACACATCCACATATAATCTAAACTTGTCTTTTAAGATGCAAGCAGAATATTTACAGAATTATGGATTATGTCAATTTAAGGATGTGATGATTTCAGCTGGAATAGAATGAATCTTCATGGTAGCTGGCATGGTGCCATTTTAGATTTCTTATTAAAATAATATTTATAACATTCTGATGTTTTAGTTATTACTGGGCAGTGTTTACACTAAGTCAGTGACTTTTCTACTTCTCATACTGCCTGCAAGCAAGGAGTCTGGGCATGCAGAAAAATCAGGGAAGGAACACAACAAGAAGAACTGGCTCAACCATATCAAAGAGATTTTCTACAAAATATGGAGTCAACCATGTTCAACCATGAAAACTGGGGAGCTGACTGAGGAGTCTATTTCTCAGAGACTGGGCATTGATTGACTAGTGGAGAGCAATTGCATTGTGTATCACTCATTTTGTTTCTTCTTTCTTCTTTCTTTTTGTTTGCTTTTCTTTATTTTTTCATCTTTCTTCTTTTCCTCTTTTTCTTTCTTATTAAACTGTCCTTATCTCAATACATGAGTACTTACACTCTTCAGTTTTCTCCCTAATCCCTTTGGGGGGGGATGACACCGAACAGATGGTTGTGTTGTGCTTAGCTGCCTACTGAATGAAGCCACAAAAAGGGAAAGGCATGGAGGCTGTGGAAACAAAATAGGAAAACATGGAATGGAGAACCCAGAATGATGAAGTATGCAACTTTATTTTCAAGCATTTCAGATAAGAGAAATAGGTTAATAGCTGGAAGCTAAGCAGAATTTCCTATAAGGAATGAAATTACTATTTATATTATTATGATCGTACACCTATCATTACTGTATATGCCTATCATTAGTATACTTTTCTATTATTACTATTACACCTATTACTAATTAGTATTATTATGATGCACTTGAATTACGTAGTGTCAGTTTGTATGGATTTGATTTAAGATCTGCAGGTGTGGCTCTGAGAGTACAAGTAGGTCTTAATTGCCTTTAGCAGCATCAGCTGGGATCTCCACTCACACCCTCTGCCTAAACGCCCAGGAGATCCACTTAAACTCAGTTCCAGGATTTCACACTCTGACTGACCTATGTTATATGTACTAGGCTTATATTCTGTTTCTTTCTCTGTCTCCTGCATAGTCTTCAAACTGATGCTGTAGTTGTCTCCTGTATGTAACCCTACATATCACTAAAGCTGGAAGAGACCTCCGAAGGTCACCTACTCCAACCCCTTGCTCAAGCAGGTTTACCTGAAGCAGGCTGCCAAGCACTGTGTCCAGTTAGGTTTTGAATATCTAGATAGGTGGAGACTCCACAGCCTTTCTGGGTAATCCATGCTGGCTTTAGAATATGCAAAATATAAGAAAGCATTTGCTTGAGTTCAGACAGAGCTTCATATATGTTTGAACTTATAAAAGCTGCTTTCTGTCCTTGGCACTAGTGTTGATGGGCGCTACTAAGAGTCTGGTTCTTCCTTTGTCATCATTCTCTCAGTTCAGGTATTTATACAGTTTGATGGGATCTCCGCAAAGTTCCTATTTGCTAAGGTAAACAGACCTAGGTTTGTTAGCATTTCCTGCATCTCCAGTTGTTTTAGACCAATCGTTTTTCTAGCATTTCAATGGAATTTCTCCATTAAGTCCATGTATTTATGGTACTGAGGGGGCCAGAACTGGACACAGGAGTGAAAACATGGCCTCATCAGTGCTGAGTAGAGAGGAAAGAGCACTTATGTTGATAAGTGGCAAATACTCTTCTTGGTGCTCTCCCCAAGAGGCTGGTAGCCACTTTTTCCCTGAGCGCACACTGCTGGATCTTGTTCAGCTCTTTGTCTGCCAGAGTCCTTCTCCATAGAGCTGCTTTTTAGGCGATTGGGTCCCAGCCTATACTCGAGCCTCTCCTTTTTCTTCCCCAGCACATGATATGGCATTTCTTTTTGTTAAATTTAATAAGATTCCTATCTGCTCAGTTCTCCAGCCTATCCAAATGCTTCTGCAAGGCAGTGCATCAGCCACTGCTTTCAATTATTTTTTGTCTGCAAACATCCTGAAGGTACCCCGTGTTCAGGTCATTAATGCAGATGTTACTGGCCCTAATATCAGTCCCTGGAGGAATAACACTAGTCAGTGGTCTCCAAGTGGACTTTTTGCCACAGGTCACATTCCCTGGGCTTCACTGTTTGAACATTTTTCAATCCACCTCACTGTCCATGTATCTAGCCTGTAATTAGTCAGCTTGTCTTTGAGGATGTTACGGCAAAGTATCCAAAGTTCTACTGAAGTTAAAGTAAACTACATCCACTGTTTCCCCCTTATCCAAGCTAGTCACATCTCATTAGCTAGCCATCATGTTAGTTAGGTATGAATTCCTCATTGTAAATCCACACTGAGTATTCCTGATTGCTTTGTCTTTCATTTGTCTGGAAATGGTTTACAAGATTAATTGTGCCATGATCTTCCCAGGGATTAAGGTGAGGCTAGCCGAATTCCTGGATAGTCTTTTCATTTCTTGAAGATAGAATGACATTTGCTTTTTTTTCAGACTACAGAAAACTCTTCTGATTTTCATGACATTTCAAAAATAATTGAGAGGGGCCTTCCAATGACATCAGTCAGTTTTCTCAGCACTTGTGGGAGTAGTCTAACAGTCCTGATGAACTTATATATATTCTGTTTAAGTACTCCCTAACCTGGTCTTCTGAAATGGTAATAAAAACACTGAATTGTAACGTAGAACAAAAAAAATGACCTGTGATCCCTCTCCTAAAATAGTACACTTCTCTTATTTTTTGGGCTGTTTGTGTTTGCCAAAAAAAAAAAAAAAAAAAAAAAAAGAAAGAAAAAAAAATCGCATTTATATAGCAACATTTATTTTCCTTAATTTTATAACCAGAATAAACATCTGTGGGGAAACTCTTAGATCATGGCCTGAAGTGACGATTGAGCACCTGGTAAAGGGGTATGGCTGGTCCAGGAAGCACAGTTGCAATTTACATATGCTTCCCACCTGACCAGAAGGGGTGGATCCAGGGTTCAGTCCCCTTCCCAGGTTCATTTAAAGGCTAGCCTCTGAAGGGAGAACATCTCCTGGATGAAGGCTGTTTCCTTAGAAGTGTTTCATAGCCAGAGACCCTTATCACTAGCTGGATGAGTCAACTGTTTTTTTTTTTTTTCTTTTTTTTTTTTTTCCCCTACGTATGTGATTGTAGGTATTCCTAATGATGCTTTGCCTGATATTGTGAGGAACTTGTTTCACTGCTTCATAGGCTAAACAATATCCTATTCCTTAAGAAAGAATTTGCTGCTAAAATAGTATTTTTTATTACACAAGTATGTAAGAGATGAAATTAAAAATAAAATGAAATATATTTGTTTTAATCTTTTAGTTTTTACACCTATAACTGAAGTTCTATGTTGGACAGAAGCATTTCCTAAAATACTTGTATGTTAGCAAAATAGACAGTGATGTCTTATATAGCACTCTTTTTGAGAATTGTACCAAAAATAAGTAAAATACAACATTTTACTTAATGCTGGTTTTCAACCTACTTAAATAATTCTGAACTTTCTTAACAACTAAATAATATATGTAGCTTTCCTTTTGATTTCTTAGAATTGTTCTCTATTTATATGATGTAACTAGTGGAACAAGGGATAGAGGATGAATTAGTTATACGTAGTTCTGAGACGTAACATCAAGTTTCTGCCTCAGTGAATAAAATTCTCATTCCAAGGTGATAATTAGTGTATTGTGATGTCTATTTTAAATTTTCTTGTTATGTCCAAAGAAGCAGAAATTAAGAAGTAAATGATCAGGTATCTTGATGCTCTTACATCTGAATGAAACTATAAACTGGAAAACATGCAGCCCAAATTGTTTAACTTTTATCAGAAAATTAGCATGACATAGGAGTTTTGTTTGTATCTTTGTAAAGATACTGTTTGTATCTTTGCAAAAATAAACGGTATCAAATATGCAGCATTGCATATGCAGTAATGATATTCTAAAATATTGTTAAAAAAGGGAGAATTACCATATCAAATTGAATTAATTGTACTGAAAAGATGGAAAAGAGTTTATACTGATAGAAAGATTGTTTAAAAATTTGGTTTGACCATTAGATGATATAGCCGTTTTTATTCTTTATGCATTCTGATAAGGAAAAAAATAAGTTACTACTCAAAAATAAAGATTTTTCTTTCTGGTTTGAGCTTGGTCTGGCATTTAAAGTAAGCACTGTAGCAGTTTAGATCATGGATGTCCAACTTTTGCCTTGCATGGGCCTCATTGATTGAAGAGGAACTGTCTTGGGCCTCAAGTGCTAAGGTCACTCTGAAAGTAATGCCTCCTTTTATTTCTGCGGAAACTAATGCAAGGAGCACAATAGCGCTTTGATAGAGCAAATTCTCAACTACAAAATGCTGTTTGTCAACACAGTCATTGCTGTTAATTCTGAGCTTTCACCACCAATGAACAAGAGCCTGCATGCTTTGCTCGTTAAAAATCTACAGCAATGGAGGTGACCCACTGTTGCTGTTACTACTGCTGAAATGCACTGCCCACTGCCTTACTGTATTCACAGCAGTGTTTGGTCTCCATAAATATTCAGCAAGCATTGATGAATGTCAGTGGGTGCATTTTTTTCCTGCAAGGAGAAATCAATTTCCACACCTTTGCTTTATACTTGCTTCCATGTCAGATGGCATTTTGTCAGACTGCCCCTCTGCTGCCACCTGTCATATGGCAACAAAATGTAATGGAATATTGCCAGGAAAGTTCAACCTCTATTGGCATACCACCTCTGATTTTGTGGGCAAACACTATTAACTAGGAGGCATTACTTTCAGAACAACCCTCATAAGATATCTGATATAATTCAGGTATATAAGTAAGAAAAGTTGTTTTAATCTTTAATATTTTTTATTTAAACAAAAAGCAGCTAAAAAAAACTAGTGGGACATATGGCCTTATTTTTGTGAAATGAATGCATCAGTATTTGGTTCTGTGTCAGTGGCTGCAGTTCTCAGTGAGTTCTTGAAGTGTTCATCAGAGATTTTTGATGAAATTTTCTTCTGTGCTTCAGCCTTGAAAATAGTCACAAATGTACTTACTGCCAAAAATGATGACATGAATAAGGTGTGATTGTGAAGTATGGAATGTTTTTCTATGATAAAATAGGGTTTGTAAAAGGCACAGTCAGATTTGTGAATTGAATATCTGATTGCTGCTCTACACACTCAGTTTGAAAATACCCAGTAATATCTTTGTGTTGACTGAAAATAGAGCTGAAATGCACAAAACTAAAAAAGATATTTTTTTCTTTTTGCAATCTTGAACCTGAACCATGTTCTCAAATTTCTCAAATTCCTTTGTCAAAAGAAAAAGCAAGGCAGCTTTTTTTTTTTTTTTTTCCCCTCCCCTCCTGTTTTGACTGTGTTTAGCCATTGAATCAAAATGCATACAGTTACTTCTAGTACTTGAGTCAGCTCAGCACAGTGCCCTCCCCATGCCCTGGTTGCATCCCAGACTGCATTAATAGTGCATTGATGTTTGGCTGCTGGTGAGCAATGGTTGTGCTCCTGGGGTCAGGCAAGTCTGCTTGGTGGGGCAGAGTAGCAGTGAAGGGCAGATGGTGTGGAGCAGGGGCCAGGCCTTGTTGCCAGGTTGCATGTGGCCTCTGGTCCACAGGTTGGACATGTCTAGTTTAGATCATAATCAAAACTACTGAAATGAAGTGCTGTGTTCTGTTTAATCTTAATCAGTGGGAGGGAAAGCAAAAGACACAGTAGTAGCAACTATATTCATTATACTTAAATCGAGATTTGAAAAGGATAGTCGCCAGTAATGTGAAATAATTTACTGTGGGATCCTGAATCAAATTCTGTGTGATGGGGAAAAATTAAGCAAGCTGACTTCATCGTAAGTACTGAAAAAGGATCAGCTCCATCTCATAGTATTTATTCTTTTATTTATTTTTTTTTTAATGGATACAGATGAGAGATAATGTGAAGTATGAAAGAAATACATACAAAAATCTGTGAAGAATTTGTCTTCAAATTAGCTTTACAGAGGAAATAACTGAAGAATTTTAATATGCATATCTACATGTTAGAAAAAGCAAGGCAATTAAAGCATATGTTCACAAAGTGTGGCATTCTGTGCAGGGTGCTGTTAACATATCTGTGTATTTCTCTGAGACCCAAGGTAACTGCATTATGCCACTTACATATGCAGCAGTAACTACTACTGTACTTTTAAAATTGAACTCTTTTATTTCAGTTTTAAAGCAACTTTAATAAAAATTGTATTCTTGGAAAGAGCTATTAAATCAGTCTTTATAAGAGAAACAAACAAGCAAAAAGCACTGAGCTGTTGCTTTGTAATGTAGGTTTTCTTTCATTTTCAGATTGAGCTTATATAGATAGGGATGGATGTAATTCATATAACATTTTTTTTCTGTTTTCTTTCCAGCACCATGTGGAGGACAGTACACAGGATCAGAAGGGGTGGTTCTATCACCAAGTTATCCTCATAATTATACTGCCGGACAGACTTGCCATTATTCAATAACAGTACCTAAAGAATTTGGTAAGAATATGTTCTACTGACTTACCAATCATTAATAATTGTTCTAGAGTTCAGATGTCCTTTATGTGAAATAGTGACTCTAGATTTGAAATAAATTGCAAATTGGCTATCCAAAAAATAAAGAGTTCTCAACTAAGAAATTGATTCTAGAATTTTCACATTAATTTCTCTCTTGGGTGATCAATAGGCAATGTCCACAAATACATTTGCATAGGAGATACTTCCAATAACTACTGTTAAATAATAATAATAATAATAATGTATTTTAGTGTTCTATCAGGAAAAAAAACAACCAAACAACCAAACAACACTTCATATATCACATAAAAGTTGTTTAGTAGTGTTTTAGGGATGGGAGTAACAATATCTTTGCAATTTATATTACAGAAATGTTTAAATACAGTTTTCTTTATTTTAGTTTTGACTGTCTTTCAAGAGAAAGTGAAATTTGATAGAATTGTCTCATCCCATTCAGTGGGTTGTGAAGAAAGTGAATCTTTGGAATCCCCTGAATAGGGCATTCCCTGCTCAGCAGCGATCTCCAGAGCAATGGCTACTAATTGAAATGAGTAAAAGGTTAATAGGAAAAAGAGGAAGAGAGACAGAGAAAAGAGATCCATATTGAGGAGTTCCAGCATTGGCCCGCTGGAATCAGAGAAGGAATGGGTGGGGGTGCAAGTGCTGGTCCCGAGGTCAAGGTTTCAAACCAGTAAAATGAAGACAAAAATCATCCAGAATTCTCTCAGGCATTCTTTTTTGCCTGTTGGATTTGCACTGATGCAGTGTTGTAAACAAGTGAGTTCACAATAACAAGTTTATGAAAAATAAGTTTGTCACAAAAATTTTCTCATGGGAAAGTAGACCTGTTTTTGGACAAAGACAAGCCTTTGATTTGTTGTCATGGCAATGGCCTTGCAGTGCTGAAAATCTACGAAGCATATTGCAGAAAGTCAGAAACTGTTCTTTGCTGGTCTTTTACAGGATTGTAATTCTTTTTTCTTAGAATTGTATAGAATGTGAGAAAATAGCCAGTAGAAGTGAAAGATGCTGGAACATACAAAAGGGATCAATCAAGTTATTTAGCATTATTAGATTTTTGGGGCAATGCTTACAAGGAAATGTTATTAGAACTTTACGTAGTGACAAATTTATCTGATTGCAGACTTGATTGTACAGTGTTTTTGACTAAAATTCTTGATCTCATGTTCTAAGTAAAGGAGGATACTTTGTTCCAGAAGTGTATAGTAAAAGAACAAATGGTAGTAGTCATAAGCTGAGCACAGCAAATTCCACCTGGACATAAAGAAAACATTATTCACCATAGCAGTGATTGAAGTACGGGTAGCTTGGATAAGATTAGGATTCTCAAGTTTTGTCAGTTTCCAAAACTTAACAGAAAAAGGCTTCAACAATTCTGATTTAACTTCTAAGTTAGCCCTGCTTTTAAAAATTCAGAGGTTGGAATACATGTTTAAGAAAAAAAAAAATTCAACTTAACAAAAAGTTAGAAAATACTGTCTGATACAAACTGTACATAAAATGATACATAAGTATCATATGGCAAAGTGCAGAGTTTTGCACCTTGGCTGGAGGAATCCCAGGCATCCATACAGAGGAAGGAGTGGTCCTTGAGAGCAGCCCTGTGGAGAAGGACCTGGGGGTCTTGATAGATGAAAAACTTAACATGAGCCAGCAGTGTGCCCTTGTGGCTCGGAAGGTAAATGGGATCCTGGGCTCCATCAAAAGACGGGTGGCCAGTAGGAACAGGGAGGTGGTTGTTCCCCTCTACTCTGCTCTTGTGACGCCCCATCTGGAATACTGTCTCCATGCGTGGAGCCCCCAGTACAAGAAGGACGGGGAGCTGTTGGAGAGGGTCCAGAGGAGGGCCACGAAGATGATCAGGGGACTGGAGCACCTTCCCTATGAAGGCAGGCTGAGGGAGCTGGGCTTGTTCAGCCTGGAGAAAAGAAGGCTGTGGGGTGACCTCATTGCAGCCTTTCAATATCTAAAGGAAGCCTACAAGCAGGAGGGGAATCAACTCTTTGAAAGGTTTGATAACTGCAGGATGAGGTGAAATGGTTTTAAGTTGAGGGAGGGGAGATTTAGGGGAGATTCTTTACAGAGAGAGTGGTGAGGTACTGGAACAGGCTGCCCAGAGAAGTTGTGGATGCCCTGTCCCTGGAGGTGTTCAAGGCCAGGTTGGATGTGGCCCTGGGCAGCCTGGTCTAGCATTAAATGAGGAGGTTGGTGGCCCTGCGTGTGGCAGGGGGGTTCCAGTTTCATAATCCTTGAGGTCCCTACCAACTCTGGCCATAATTAAAATAATAATAATAATAATAATAATAATAGCACTGTTTCAAAGTTCTATGATTTTATTTTATTTTATTTTTTTAGAGTGAATCTGGAATAGGAGTAACTTTAAAGCAGGTTCCTCCTTTATCCTTATTCTTTATCAAGAAAATATGGATAGCTGCTGTGATTGTAATATTCTTACTGGTTTCATTTTACTGGTTAATTACTTCATGTTTGTATTGCTGATTGATACTTGAATTCATTTGATATTCATTAATAGTTACAACCATTTGATATTTACAAATAAGAAATGTTGTATAATTACTTAATTTATTTTTAATACAATTTAAATTGGTTACAGTTGAGGGTCAAATTGAGGGTAACAGTATGTCAAGTACAGTAATGTGTTGATGTTTTTATTATTTGGTCAGTTTTCTTGTTTTTTTTTAATAAAATGAGAATTAATGAAAACATACAAAAAGTAGCCAATTCAATGTTTAAATCATCTTCCTCATACTAAAGCTGGTTAAGCAACTAATCATGTGTGACAGTAGATGCTCACAAATAATTGCTAAGGTTGTTAATGAAAATTTAGTTGAAAATAAAATCCTTTTTCGATATCTTACTTTCTTATTTTATAGGTACTTACACAATAAGAAATAAGACTTTCTTTTGACTGGAAAGTGCGCTTTTGGGGAGAGTGTTTTAGTTTTTATTTAAAAAATAAGGAAATACTGAAGAGCATGTCAAGTTCATACCACTGAAGTTTAAAGCAACATTTTATAATGATAAATTAAGCTTCTCACCTTGCCTGAAACTTGGAAAAATTAATGGAGGAATCCGTTGATAACTAAGACAAGCAGTAATACCCAATTACATTTGAGTTTAAAAAATAGATTAACTTCTCTTTTCTTCTCTTTCTTTCTCACTGTCTTTATTTTTTTATTATTTTTTATTTTATTTTATTTTATTTTTAAATATAGTTGTGTTTGGACAATTTGCCTATTTCCAAACAGCTCTGAATGATGTGGCAGAATTATTTGATGGAGATAACTCTCAAGCTAGACTTCTTAGTTCACTGTCTGGATCCCATTCAGGTAGGAAATAATGAAAAGAATATATGTTTCTGAATTTTATTTGGGAAAATAATAATAAAGTCAGTAGAAGAAAATCTCAAGGGAAATGGATAAGCTGTCTAAAACTTAGGACTAAGACATTCTTCTGAAACATGTTTTAGGCAAGAACTGATCACTACAATTATCTTCTCTGCCTCTAAACACTTATGTTTTCCAAATGTCTAATTTAAACACAAATTGTTTGTATTCATAAAATGCAATTATCTGGACTCAAACATGCATTTAGACTAAAAAAGACCACCCGTTGTGTTCAGGTAAAAATACCAAAATTTTGACCTTATGAAATGATAATTAAACTTATGCAGATTTCAGCATGGCCAAAATTTCTGTCTCTGCATATTTAATGACTACGTTCATTTCAAGGGAATAATACAAAAATATTTTTGCAGAGTGGTATGTTTTTGTTGTTGTTGTTGTTTTGTTTGTTTGTTTGTTTTTGTTTTGTCATACAGACCTAGTATTTAGGAGAGTTTCTTGTATGTTTCTTGTATTCTTAAAATGTAATTTTAAAATTTTCATTGATTCTTGGTATTCTCTGTGAGTAACTGGGGAAATTCTCCCTTTTAAAGGAGTATATAGTTAAAGGAACATATCTATTCAATTTATAGGAAACATTTTATTATTTGAAAAATTCGGCTCATCCTTTTCATATAGTGAATTTTGCTATTTGCCTTGTAAGAGGAGGTAATGTATTTATTTTCAAATTTGTGTAATCATTGGAAATATTTCAACAGCAAAATGCATTTACTTTTAAAATTTGAGAGAACTCATATGCACACCCAATTTTACTGAATTATATATATTTTTAAAAAGTCAAAATTAATGTATATATCCACAGCAGACATTTGAAAACAGTTGAAGGGAGTTTAAACTTGTGATCTGTACTTATTCATCATGCAGTGTGATTTGCATTGCTTTAGAATGGGATTTTATTAACTGAAATTAGTAGAGCTGCAATAATGTAAAACTAAGATAAGTGAAGGAATTGTCAGTGTTACTTAGTCAACTCTCTAAGATATATTTACTAAATTATTTTTCATTTCAGTAGAACTTCTTAAAATTGGTGTTGATATAATTCAACACAAATAAAAATATTTGTCATTTGAAATAGCAACTTTACAGTGTAAAAGTACTTCAATTATTTATGTCGTGTTTCATTAGTAAGCATTTATTATCACTACAGGCATATAGAGAAGGAGAGAAACAAATATTAAACATCTTTATTAGTTATCAATTCAGTATATGAAATTTGAAATGCTTTTATAAATCCTATACTGTAATGTAATATGTGGCCATATTTTTTGTCAAAGCAACTATACAAAGAGTCATAAATTCACTTTCTCTGTTGTTAGTTTTAATTTTTAAGTTATAAACATTACATAAGGATCTGTTGTTACAGTTTTAAAATCCTTTTTACTATTTAATGTGTTTTGGAAAATGAAGTAAACTGTCAGTAACAGAAAAATTTGACCAAGACTTTTTTCTAATGATTTTAGCTCCTAATGCTAGTGACAGACTCCAGAAAAATAACTTCGAGATCTCCTTCCAAGACTTGCAATAAATGTCAGAAAGTTTGTTACTGAATGATCAAGTCTTTTTTATCTGATAAATTTTTAAACCTTCAATGGTGAATTTCATTTTATGCATTCTGATTTACATTTTCTTTAAAGTAAATGGAAAATATAAACTGTATTTTAACAGTATATTTGTTTACATTGTGAAGAGTTTCCATTTGCCTGTTTAATTTGTTTTGTTTCCCTTTATAGGAGAGACATTGCCTTTGGCAACATCTAATCAAATTCTTTTGCGATTCAGTGCTAAGAGTGGGGCATCAGCAAGGGGGTTCCATTTTGTTTACCAAGGTAATGCATGTCTTCTTTTGGTGGAAGATACTGGTACAAGTCTTTCAAAGTGTATAATTCTGAAAACTTCTTAGATCTTAATTATTTATTTGAATAAAAGTGTAGTCTTAACCTTTTTCCAGACATCGGGAACTTTTTCTGAACCAGTAAGAGTAGATTGGCTTCATAATGGCAGCCACCCTTGATTAATCCTCTCTGTTATCATGGATTTGAGTATGGTCCAGACTTTCTCAGGGTTCCATGGTCTATTGGTCCATTAACTGCTGATTGTCATGTCAGACTACGTAGTACATGATATGAACTCTGAAGACAAGGCAAAAAAGGCATTTAATACTTAAATCTTTTCTGTATCATTTATCACTAAGCTGTTCAACCCTCCTTCCTTAAGTATCAACTTAAGGAAATATTAGCATGCCTGACCTGCTGACCTGTAGACATTTCCTCTAATGTCCCTTGTCGGCTTTTTCTCCCCCTGAGCTTTGATTTTCCTTTTTTTTTCTTTCCACTAAGTATCTGAGAAATGCTGTAATTAAACTGATTATTGAATGTATACAGGTTACAGCATGGCCAAAATTTGTCTCTGTGTATTTAATGACTACATTCATTTCAAGGGGATAATATAAAAATATTTCTGCACAGCTGTATGCTTTTTCTTTTTTTTTTTTTTGTCACACAGACCTAGTATATAGGAGAGTTTCAGTGTAGTTTTAAGATTTTCATTGCTTCTTGATATGCTCTGTGAGTAATTGGGGAAATTCTTCCTTTTATAGTTAAAATAACATAAGTATTCTTGATTTATTGCCAGTCCTTGCTTCCGTTTTTGGTGTGCTCATTTTTTTTGTGTTTAAATAGTTTGGAAAGTTCCACTGATTTTTTTTTAATTAATTCCCACTCTTCCCTCTCAGTGGGATCATTTGTTTCTAGCCTCTCTTATCTCTCTAAAACTATCTCCAGTATTTTGAGGAAAGTTTGCATACTCAATTATTGAATATGCAAAAGTCTGCTCACTTAAATTACAACCTTCTACTAATTTCTTACCTTCATCTTGTGTGGTCCTTACAGCCTACAGTATATCCATCTATACAGCCATCTATATCCATGTATATAAACAGCTTACCTTCATTTGTGAGTGGCGAGCCAGGTTGTAGTTACTTATTTGTCTACTAGAAGTACCTACTAAATCTAGTCAGTATTTTACCTGACTAAAATTAGTAGGGACAAGACCATATAACTTTTATCATCAAAACATAACGACATATTATATTTATATACATCTTCCAACAGTATTGTGTTAGATGTAAGTAACTAGATCGCTGTGCTCCTGATGGGGCACTTGTTTGTCTATGTTAACAAGAGAAATTGAAAACATGCCACTGAGTAGTGTATGAAATGAGTGCTGGAAATATGACCTAGCAATGTTAATTGCACTTTAGAGTTTAATAAATACTTAAAAATACAACCAGTGAATTTGCCACACAACATTGATTTTTTCCAACAATTTCTGTTTTATAGTCAGATTTTATTATAATAGACACTGAAAATAGGTCCTGCGGTTAGGATGAAAAGATATGTGGTTATCAAAGACTAAATAAAACAGTTAACTAAAAACAGAATATAAATTGCATGCATTTGTACTTGATTTTTGTCCCTGCAAAAAGTTGTCCCACCCAATTTTAGTTACAGTATTAAAAAAGGTTCATTTTCTAGCAAAAACAAGAGAAATTATAACATTTTGGTTTTGTTTTATGCTGACAGGGCACAGACACTAAGCAAAGTCTCAGAGCTTACGCTGTTGTGAGAAAATTTGTTACATTCACCTAAATAGTTATCCCCTAGAAGTACTGTCCATTTCAGTTTTCTCATGACATGAATAAAAATAAAATGTAGTGAGGTACTTATGAAAATCTGAGCTCTGGGTAGGTACATATGGCATAATTTTGTTGAAACAATACAACTGTGCTTCAACATATTTTGTCACTTCTAGTTTGAGTTAATTTGTCTGAAATTACATGCATATTGCTGTAGAACAATAAGTTTCCTGTTGAGCATAATGGTATGCCTCATTTCAGTCACTTGGACTGCACTTATTTTTAATAACTCGAAGAAATAGATTTTAACAAAAGACATAACAAAAGAAATATTCTCTTCAGTGTCAGAAAATAAGTCATGTAAAGCTGCTCTATCTCAAGAAAATTATGAGTTATTTGAATATCCATGTTTTGTACGTGTTTTGAATGATAGCTTCACTTTATTTAATGCACACACATATATATTGCTCAATGAGTTAATGATATTTAATAAGATAATGACTTAGTGATTTTTAATAAAATCTCATTCCAAGGGTTGTTTTCTCTTCTTTCGAAGTACATGATCACATTTCCACTACTGCCTGATTCCTAGCATTTTAAATGCTCCAGAGAATGACATCCACTCTCACACTGAACAGAATAATCTGGTCTGCAAAGTCAGTCACTTTATTTATCACCCTCTGTTTCAGGTTGACCTTCTTCCCTTCTCACATTTCCACTGGGCTGATTTCAATTTTGTTTCACAGTAGCATGAAACATTTACTAAAAGATGGAGGGTAATTACTGTAGAAAAAAGAATGTCTGATGATGGAGCTTGAAAAGTCTGTGTTGCCAGTGCTATAGGCAAAAGATAGAAGGAAGGCTAGAGGGAGAAACATTATATCTTGAATTATTTCACATTCTGTTTTGAGCTAGCAACAGATGAGATTTAATTCAGATTTAATGGCTTTTGCAATGCCACTTTCTCAAAAACTTCTTTTTAGTTGTATATCTCATTGGCTCATGCAGTTCTTTTTCTCAGATGACCATATTTTCTGGTCTTTCACAAAACAGGTAAAGAGTGTCAGTAATATCAGCCTGAATACCCCTTCTTTCATAATATTAGGGTTGTGTATGTGGAAATGTGATACAAAGAACAATCCATTTAAGACGAATGGATTATTTTGGAGGAGGCACAAGGAAGTGGGTGCCTGATATTATGCTTGTTTTTCTGTTGCAATGTAATCTGAGAAACAGTAGTACATATTTTTATATAGTTTGTGCTGCAGAAATAATGAGGGTTGTTTCCCTGTAAAGCAAGGTAATGAACTTTCTACCTATGCTGTCACTAATGTGTTGTTGTTTTTTTTTTTTAATCCTTATCTCTTTTACTTGCTCCACTATACAGTTACGTGAACTAGTTTATGAGGTCAATAGAGATATTAAAGGAAAGCTAGTAAGAAAACTTACGTACTAGAATAATGAAGAACTATGGGGGAAAGATGAAGGGGAACAAGAATTAAATAGGGATATAACTTTAACAATTAAATTGACCTCATCTGTGACAAGAATAAAATACTTACCCACATACTTACTGCTGCGTGTAATTGAGGAACAGAGTTATGACTGTTGGAGTTGCCTCAGGGATTGCCACAAAGTATTTTGTTCTGGTTTACAGTGTGTTTTAAGGATATCTGAAACTGTATTGCATTTTGCCACAGGTTTCTTATCTTCTTTATTATTTATTGTTTATTATCTATAATAATATATATCTATAATTAAATCAAAACTCAATTCTAGGAAGATATGTCTGGCTTATATTACATTTCACTGTTGTGACTGAAAAGTACTCTAGGAATGATGCTGAGAGAGAGTCAGAACATTATAGCCCTTTAAGGATGACACATAAGGGGGAGACAAATGGCATGCTAAAATTTTACTTAGCAGACCTTTGTGGAAGGACGTCATGAGCTATTATGTGATGCTCAGATACAACTTCCTCTGAAACTAGCTTAAACAACTATGCCAAACTTCCACCACTAAGAGTAGCATGTCATGCCTAAGCACACAGATATTTAAGACAGTAACAACACCTTAAGGCTGGAGACACTGATGGAGAGGTTGCTAGGAAGTAGGCACTCCATGCCATATGAGCTGCATCTCTAAAGATACTGTAGCCTGTCTCACAATGGGTTGAAAATATTTCTGGGGATTTGTTGTCCTGTGGAAGACTTACTGTGCAGTGGAGTAATGTTTGTGACAAAGTATGGCCATGCTAAGAAAAAAGTGACAGGAACACCTGAAGTGTTCTCACAAGTGAGAACATAAGCAAAATGCAGCAAAGGAAAAGCAAGAGAAAAGAACACATGACTTCAACATCCTGTACTGCTGTCTCGCTCCAATTTATAGGAGGGAGGTGAGGTTCTTTTAATATCTGTATGCCTGGCGTGAGATTAAGAAACAACGGTTCATATGTTAGTCCAACCAGTTTATTATAAATCCTAATCAGGGAGACAGGAAGGGAAGGAGGGCAATAGAAAAGATAGGAAAGAAGCAAGAATTGTGTAAAGCGGGGATAGTCACCACCAGGATCCAGCAGCGGTCCCGTTGCACACCACTTCGAAGGTCCGAGGCAAAAGCAGCAGGGGGCGAGAGCAGCAACGTGGCTGGCCTTGGGCAGCAAGCAGGTAGCAGGAGAGTAGTCGCAGAGCCAATCCAGGAGGAAGCAGCAGGACTCAGGTAGTAGGCCCAGGAGAGTCCGTCAGCATGCAGGAATTCCGTAGTGAGGAATCTGATGGCAGACACCTTTGTTCTTCTTCAGCATCGTGGTAGAACGCAGAGCAAGTCCAGGAGGGAGAGAGGCAGGCCATGAGGCTTCTTCATGGCAGAAACCTCTGTTCTTCATGAGGAATCTGTTGCCAGAAAGGCTCACCTCATGATTGTAGGTCCCCATTTTATCCTTTTTCTTTTACTGCCTACATGACATCCCTGGTGCTTGAGCAAGAGTCATGTGAGTACCCCCTGAGATGGCCATCTTCTTCAAGATAAGCCCACACAAAAGTCCACTTCATGGCCATTAAGCTGCAGCTTATCTCTCTCTCATTGCCCCTGGCCTTGTCCATCTGTGCCCCTCAGACAAAGGATTTCACAACCTTTGCCCAGGACTTGCCTGAACTTGTTCATCTGTGTCCTCAGCAAGTTTTGAGGCAATGATGTAAAAGAATAATCTCTTACAACTGCTTTTCACCTCAGTGGAGAAACTAGGATGACTGTAAGGAAGGAGGATGGTAGGCATTTGATTGAAGTTTAACCTGGGGAGAAGGAGGGAAAACTGTCCACTTAAGTGACTAGTTGACTTTTTGTGTCCTCCTTTTCCTGAACACTTGAATCAGTGGTCAGAGGTTTGTGTTAACTGGTAATAAATTCAGTTAAGTAGAAATTTCTTGAAGGAAAACTTGTTTATTCATGGCATGATTGGGAATGGTATGTCTTGAGCAAATTCTCTTGGTGCAGTCTCAGAGAGAGATATCCATTCCTAATTGTGTGGTAAATGCAACATTTGTATGTTAAATTTATATGAAACATAAATTTCATCACCTAGTCAACTGTGGAGTCATTATATACTTAAAAAAAAAAAAAAAAAGTTTTAATAAAATTGTGCTTTCCCAGTAGACCATCTGATAGAGAAGATAAAAGAACTAAAAAGATCAGGCTGGGTCAGTTGAATTGACCTGCCAGGCTGTAATTGGTCTCCAGGTCATGATCAGGAAAAAGAACAGTGATGTAAAAATCCTTAAGCTACAGTTTCATTATTCTTTCACAAGTGCATAACAGCTCCTTGCTTCTTAGAACTGTAGAACTTAGAACTGTATGCACAACCAAGTTTCTTGATACTCAGTTTTCAAGATATTTGGGTCCTGTTAAAACATCAATCACAATATTCCATTGATTTAAACAGTCAGAATATTAAAAACTACTGAAGGGAAAAGTGATTTGTTTATGCTGGTTAAAGTATTTAGACATTTTCAAGACTTGAAAAATGTATTTGCTTTAGTTCTGCAGTAGCCTATTGTGTAATCATCATTCCAGCAGGTTCCACCTCTGCCCATTTTTTCAGTCTTGGAGAATCTCATAACTTAGGCTTTCAAGATAAAAATCTGCTGCAGTCATCTAGTCTATTGATTTAGATAAAAATAAAAATACTGTTTCTGTATGACCTTGCCTTACAAATCATCCTGTTGCATATTAATAAAGAGAACATGTATTGTACTGTTTTACTGTTACTATTACTAAGACCAATTATATTGAAATGATCTTTTAAAAAGCTTTTATCTGCACTTACTAGAACCTGTGTAAATTTAACTGTTTTTCTCAGTGGAAATGTGGAAAACTGATACAAAGTCATGTTGGATAAATGCAAGAACTGCCAATGTTCTACTGAAATGTTACATGTTCCATTCTAGATTTAAGATAGGATTGATTTCAATTGATGTTCTATGTCCAAGTTGAAAATAAATGTTAATTTTCTGAGAAGATACCAGTACTTGAAATTATTACACTTCAATAATTATTATTCTGATTAGAATAAATGACAGAGCAAGAAAAAAAGACAATATGAAAATAAGTATTTATAGGTTCCACATATCTTGTCTGTTACTTAGTGGCCAGGGTAGCTGAAAAGATAACAGTATCTTTTGTTAATGAATAGAAAGGAATATTGTTCTTCAGTTAAAGGCCAGCAAAAATAGATACATTTAAGTATGTAAAATAAAATGATTCTGTTTATGCTATTTTTAAAATAGATTAGTAAATTAGAAATACTGCTAGGATTGAAGTCTAAGCCCTATTTAAAACTTTTTATACATATTACTATCTAGACACAGTGAGCAACGAAGCTGGTGAGGGGTCTTGAGCACAAGCCTTATGAATGGCTGAGGGAGCTGGGATTGTTCAGTCTGGAGAAAAGGATTAATATCAGGGGAGACCTTATTGCTCTCTGCAATACATGAAAGGAGACTGTTGTGAAGTGAAGGTTTGTCTCTTTTCCCACATGACTAGCAATAGGGCTAGAGGGAACATTGTGCCAGGAGAGATGCAGGTTGGATGTTAGGAAAAATTTCTTCTCCAAAAGGGAGATCAGGTGCTGGAATGGGCTTCTCAGGGAGGTAGTTGAGTTACCAACCCTGGAGGTGTTCAAGAAATATTTAGAAGTTGTACTGAAGGACATAGTTTAGTGGGGGAATGTAAGTGGTAGGTGGACTGTTGGACTAGATGATCTTGAAGATCTTTTCCAACTTTGGTGATGATTCCCTGAAATTAATTCTTGGCAATACTAAACTGATCAAACAAGGCTTCTGAAGATGTCACTCACTCAGAATACATATTTGTGTTATTATTAATGAGATTATTTTTATGTACATTCATTTTATCAAAGTCTAGATATGATATTACACAATTATAATTTTTCTGTAAATACTTTTTTTTTCTTTCTTTTTTTTTTTAAATTGTAGCAGCTCTTGGCTAACTACAAAATCAAAAGTAGAGAGAACAAGTTTAGTACACAAACGCATACACAGTGCCAAGAGTCAAGAATTACAAAAAATGCTTGCTGTAAGGAAATAGTTATAAATAAGCAAGCTAAAGGGGAAATAAATAAATAAATAACCAGCATGAGTTTCTAATTAATTTTATTATTTTGTTCTTCAAATGTTTACAAGTTTTAACTGTTCAAGCATCACAACAGGTTTGTGAATTCTCAGGAATTATTTCTAATAGTAATTACTATAAGGTTTGTAACCGGAATGTTGTCCAATATGACAAATCAAATAATGATTTAATATTGCATGGTTTTCATATCTGATATAGTATAATATTTCTCCTGGCTTCTAATGAGAAGCTAAAGTTTCCATATTTATAAATAAATTAGGTGATAGGTATCAGTGTCCTGTAAGTGAAGAAGGCAAATGAAATATCCGTTGATATACTGGAGGTTTTAATTTCTACATCTCTTGCCTTCTGAGCTGACAGCACTTACATGTGATGAAGTGCTCTCATCATGTGGCTGTCACAGCCCAAGTTTATAGAATCATAGAACAGTTTAAGTTGGAGGGTACCTTAAAGATCATCTAGTTCCAACTCCCCTCTATAGGCTGCCCAGGGCCACATTTGCCCAAAACCCTGAATGCCTGCAGAGATGGGGTATCCACAACCTCTCTGGAATATGTGTTCCAGCATCACTCCAACCTCCAAATAAAACATTTCTTCCTAATATTAAATCTAAATACCTTCTCTTGTCCAATCACTATTAGGCCATGTAAAAAGTCAATCCCCCTCATGTTTGTGAGCTCCTTTCAAGAACAGAAGGCTGCAATGAGGTCTCCCCAGGCTTCTCTTTTCCAACCTAAAGAAACCCAAATTTGGATAACGGACATGAAAATATTAGGCCAGGGTTTGATATGACATTAACAAAGCAAACAAAAGGAACAAATAGAACTTCACTACTTCCAACAAGAAGCAATATGCATATTTAATAATTTCTTTGTGTTTTAGATGATGATTGTCATTTGACTTCATGGCATTTTTCTTTCTCTTTTGATGCAGCCGTTCCGCGCACGAGTGATACACAGTGTAGCTCGGTTCCAGAGCCTAGGTATGGAAGGAGAATTGGCTCTGAATTTTCAGCAGGTTCTGTTGTTCGTTTTGAATGTAGTCCTGGATATTTGCTGCAAGGCTCAAAAGCTATCCGATGCCATTCTGTACCTAATGCCTTAGCTCAGTGGAATGACACGGTACCAAGCTGTGTAGGTAGGTAATTACATTTAAAATCCTCTGTTTTGTCATGTATGTCTTTGAATTAGAATTCAGGAACTACATCAGAAAATAGTATTTAACAGACATTCACTCTCCTTCGATTAATATCAGTCATGCCCAATTTAAAAGAGCAGTGTTCCATATCAAAAAGTAATTGAGAACCAGCTGGCTGGTAGGCAGTATAGTGTTTCATATAATGACTTATATGAACAAGTGAGATACAAGTTTTCTTGAACATTCATTATTTTCATGACTCATCCACAGCTTGAAATACAGGGCAGGTTTTAATTCTCCAAAAGTGTCTTAACCTTTTTTATTATTCAGTATTTGTCGTATGTTTCTATCACACGTAGAATGGTTATATTTTTTTTTTTTTTTTTCAAGTGAAACATAATATACAATGAAAAATGACATCTCTGTTAAGTTTAGCTAATTTTCTAGTTTATCAACAGGCCTCCAATGGGATATTGGATATTTGACACTTTGTTTTCCTTGTAAATGTTGAAAGATTTTCTTCACCCTTCCTTGGATACGTATCTAAAGCTCAATAATATTCATAGGAATCTACCATTCAATTAATTGGAGTGTTCTAAAAATAAATGTAGGCATCCTGTTTTCTGTGTATTCTGTTTTTGCTTAGCTTATTCTGTTTTCCTGAACTATAGAGAAGCAATTCCGTATATGCTAAAAATATACATAATATACCACACCATTTTACCAGCTAGGTACAGTGTTAAAACTACCCTAAACTGTAGGTAAGTTCACAGGATTTCTGTGAATCAAGATTGGGTTTAATGTTATGATTTAATAGTTATTTGTTGTTATCTGCTGGTAAGACATGACTAAGTTGAGCTGCTATGTTTTTCTAAGCTTTTTCAAAATGAAGTTCACTTTGGAATGGCTTATTCGTACAGAATGTATCTGAGTACTGCATATTGTTAATGATTTAGATAACATTACTTTCTGAGTTCATCTTGTTATTTTATGTTTATGAATTTATAATAAGAAAGAGGATTATGATAACTTATTAATACAATTATTATTACTTTTCTCTGAAATAGCTAAGGTTTTGTAATTATTCATAATAATGCTTTCTTTCAGTGCCATGTAGTGGGAATTTTACTGAACGGAGAGGTACTATTCTATCACCAGGTTACCCTGAACCCTATGGTAACAGCTTGAACTGTGTGTGGAAAATCATAGTGACTGAGGGATCAGGTATTCAGGCAAGTCTATATTCTGTCAAGCATGGAATATTAAGTTATTTGTATTTCAGTTTAAGAAATAAATGTTTATTTCTTTATAGGTGTCAGAAAACAGTTACCAGATGCATCTTTTTGGGGTTGCATTAAATATGTGTGCTGTTTTTCTCATTGTTCTTTGCTTAGCTTTATTCTTTACAGACGGCATGAGAAATAGTTAACAAGCAGTTTTTTTTTTGCTTCAACTGTGCAAAATACTGAATACAAACTCTTTGATGTAATATGAGAATGCCAACCCTTTTTGTCTGCTAGAATATTACTAAAGCACTTGTGAGGTCTTCATTATCTTCTCATTTGCACTTTGAGTAATTATTTAAAATCATACAACATATGTGCAAAATCATCCTGTCACCTAGCGTCATATTCACATTTTCTAAAAGTTAAATCAACTTAAAAAGTAACAGTTAATGTTTGGTTTACTTTTTATTATTACTGTTAGGACCTCTTTAGTTATATTTATTTCATTTTGCTGTTTCTAGAACATTTAAATATACACAAGACTTGCTTGTTTAAAAAGTTTTGTGGTGGCATTTTGCAGATCCAAGTCATCAGCTTTGCCACTGAACATAATTGGGACTCTCTTGAAATATATGATGGTGGAGATATGACAGCACCACGTCTTGGGAGTTTTTCAGGTAAGGATATGCTTTGATCTGAACATATAGACTGTAGGTGCATGTGATGCCGTCATTGGATCTCCTGTTTACCCAAGAAGCCTGTTCACACATGTACACATTTATATGGCATATTTTATGATATTATGAAACTCACTGTAAGGAGGAGTGCTGTTCAGGTGTTGCAAATTTGTATCAGTCTTGAAAGAGAGATTTTCAGAAACAAATATGCTAAATTGTTTAGCTTTTATTAGTGAGATTTAGTTGACAGCAACTTTGAAAAAATGTGTTTTATTTAATCCGTATCTCCTGTTCAAGGATAACTTTGACTTAGCTTATTCAGTTTAGCTGTCCTTTCTGAAGAAAAAGATGAAGTATTCACAATTTATCCAAACTCACTGGACTTAAAAAAAAACAACAAACAAACTACAAAACAAATCAATGTGATTGGGACATAGGAAACCATGTCATTTCTTGTTTCACAAGTACATTAGACACATATGATTTTATTCCGTTTTTATAGAAAGAAAGAGTTTATTCTATAAACCAAGGCAATCCAAGCAAAAAAAAAAAAAAAAAAAAAAAGAGAGAGATTAAGTCATGAATTATATCATGTACTCTGCCAGAAGCCTGATCTAATTCTGCTGTAGCCAAATAATCTTGTGGAACGGTGGAACGTTCCTTCTCTTGTGACTTCAAAAACTTTTAAAGAATAGATTTATACTGGATTGTGTATGCAGATTAATGATCAAATAAATAAACACAATGTATTTATTTGGGTATTTAGTTGAACAATTTAATGTTCCATTCCAAAATTTACGTAATAAAGTGTCATGTATTAAAGTCTACATATTTAAATATTTTTTTACATAGGTTGTTCTGAAAGTGATGTCTCCTATTTATTTCTATGGAAACTACAACAGATACAAACAGCACAACAGGATTTGATAGAGAAAATTCTTAGCTACAAAAAGCTATTTTTCAGCACAGTCACTACCATTAGCTATGCATTTTCAGCACCAGTGAACAAGAGCCTGCATGCTGTGCTTGTAAAAATCTGCATGATCATTTGGAATGTGGCTTGTCTTTCAAATTGCTGTCGCCGCTACTGAAAAGCATCACCCACTGCCTCACTGTGCTCACCTTCACTGTTTGGTCTCCATAAACATTCAGCAAGCATAAGTGAATGTCATTGGGTGCCATTTTTTCCACATGGAGGAATTTGGTTACAAACCTTCTCTTCATATGTACTTCCATGTTAGACACCATTTTGCCAGACCGCTACTCAGCTGCCACGCAGCAACAAAATTTAACAAAATATTGGTGGGAAGTTTTAATTTCTACTGCCAATCCACCATCTGCCTCTGATGTTGTGGGCCAGTGCAACAAAACAGAAGGTATTACTTTTGAAGCAGCCGTTGTATCGAAGATTAATAATTATGTTGTATATCAAATTTTAAATAAGAAACAAAGAGATTATGAAATATAACCATTCTTTGACAATTGAAATGTACAGCAAATACTTTTGACATAGTAGATAAAAAGCTGATTAAATGATCCATTTAGCAACATCCTATTTAACAGCACTTAAGCCTCAAAATGATTTCTTATTCTACAGTAAAAGGGTATCATCTTGATTTAACTTAAAAGCTTTCCTGATTTCTGGGAAAATAGGAAATATGGAGATGGAGTAGCAGAGCTCTACTGTAGATTTCTATTTTTCATGTCATGAACATAAGACTTAATTGAAATAATAGAAATGTGTAGTATAGGAGTAGAGTAATAAAGAATATATTAACTTAGGATAAAATCTGCTGTTCTCAAAATTGTGCCAGTAATGTGATACAATATCATAACTAGTAAAACTCAGCAGGCACCATATCTGTCTCAGTCAATCTTGTAGAGCACCGTTGTTTAAAGATTGTGCTGATTTAGTCTCTAAAATTCATGTGTCTTCAAAATATGCATTGAAAATGTACAGATGTATATCTAATCAGGGAAGACTTTGAAGTAATAGTGTCTCAGAATCACAGAATTGCCAGGGTTGGAAGGGACCTCAAGGATTATGAATCTCCAACGCCCCTGCCACATGCAGGGCCACCAACCTTTCCACCTAATGTTAGACCAGGCTGCCCAGGGCCCCATCTAATCTGGCCTTGAACACCTCCAGGGACAGGGCATCCACATCCTCTCTGGGCAGCCTGTTCCAGTACCTCATCACTCTCTCTGTAAAGAACTTCCCCCTGACGTCCAACCTAAATCTCCCCTCCCTCAACTTAAAACCATTTCCCCTCATCCTGCAGTTATCAAAAGATATTACAGTCTCAAATAACTGTAGTGAATGGGAGCTACATCTGCCTGGTTGGCTGTCACTAGTGATGTTCTCCAAGGCTCAAATCTAGGGCCAGTCCTGTTCAATTTTCTTTTCAACACTCTGGATGCAGGAGCAGCATCCTTAGTGTGTTTCCTGATGATACTTCCTGTTGCCATTGACTCCCAGGAAAGATGAGGAACAAGAGCATTGTGACCTGTTCTGGACTTCCTGGTTCAAGAAAGACAGGCAGCTGCTGAAGATAGTCCAGTGAAGAGCCACAAAGATGGTTAGGGGTCTGGAGCGTCACCTCATACGAGGAAAGGCTGAAAGACCAAAGACCATTTAGCCTAGTGGAGATTGAGAGCAGATCTTATCAGTGCTTATAAATACCAAAAGGCTGGGTATTAAGTCAATGGGGCTATTTTTGGTGGTGCCCAGTAACAGGACAAGGGGCAATGGGCCCAAACTGGAATCCATCTGAGCATGAGAAAGAACTTCTTCACTTTGAAGGTGACAGAACATAGAAACAAGCTGCCTAGAAAGTTTGTGGTCTCTCATTCTTTGAAGATATTCAAAACTCACCAGGATGCTTTCCTCTGCGGCCTACTGTAGAAGATCCTGCCTTAGCAGGACGGGTGGACAAGAGGATTTCTAGACATCTCTTCCAATCCCTATGATTCTGTGATTCTGAGATTTTGCAAGTGATCTAGATAGATTAGAGCACAGGGTGATTAGCAATGGCATAAAGTTCAATAAAGGGAATTGACAGGTACTGCATCTGGAACAGTGTTGCCAGATACAGGTGCAGAAGGCAGACAAGTGATTGGATTAAGGGAGAAAGGGTCCTAGGGATGCTTGTCAATAGCCAGTCTCAGTAGAACTCAGCAGTGTAGCCTGGCAGCCAAGAAAGCAAACTGCATTTTGAGGTACATTAAACACAGCATAGCCAAGTGGTCAAATAAATTATTCTCCCATTTTATTTAGCATTGATGAAGTCTCCCTTTGGTTACTGTGTGCAGTTCTGGGCTCTGCAACATGGATAAAGGATGTTAAAGTCCTTGAAATCACCAAGAGGAGGGCACCAAAGCTGGTAACAGGGCTGGAAGACTGTATGGGGAGAGGCTGAGAATGCTTGGGTTGTCCACTCTGGAGAAGAGGATGCCAAGAGACGACTTTATTGCCTTCTGCAGCTCCCTGAAGAGGGGAAGCACAGGAGAGGGGTGCCAAGCTCTCCATCTAAAAACGGATGGTGGGGCATGAGGGGATGTCACAAAGCTGCACCTGAGGAGGGTCAGACTGGGCATTAAGAAAAAACTACTTACAGTGAGGGTGGTCAAATGCTGGAAAGGCCTTCCTTGAGGGTTTTTTGGTGCCCAATGTCTGTCTGTATTCAAGAGGCATTTGAATAGTGCCCTCATTGATATGCTTAAACATTTGATTAGTCGCAAAGAGGCCAGGCAGTTGGACTAGATGTTCTTTGAATGTCCTTTTCCAACTGAACTATTTTTTTCTATACTGTGCTATTCAGCTATTACTCATCAAAATTTCTTCTGTCTTTTAAACATTGTTTCTTTCTGTTGAAAATAGAGAAAGTCCAAAACAAATGGCACACTTTGGACACTGTATCTGGTCATCTTACTAAATGTATGTCCTATGTGCTATCTATCAAATCCCCTAAAATCCTAAGGTAGCAAGTGAGCAATAAAATTTAAGTTTGATATGGCATAGAACACAGCAATTGTGAGAATTAAAACGTTTAGTTCAATGTTTAGCGTCATTTACTTTTTTTTCTTCTTTTTCTCACAGCATAATAGAATACTATTTCTCCTCTTATTGAATACTACAGGAAGTAAAAGACTGGTGTTATGCAGTCTTTTTTTTTAGCCGGTGTTACAAGGGAACAGAAGAACACAGTTTATTTAATTTTGTTAAATAAAAAGACAGTTATGAGTCGATGTCCTCAACTTTACTGAGCAAACACCTTAGCTAAATATTTTGTGTGGATACCATGAAAATTCCTCTTTTAGAAGATGTTTCCTTATTTTCTGTATCCTACTGTAAGTATTGTGTGACATGAATGCTCTGTACTGCTTGTGAATTTCTATGCTTGGAGCTTCTATGTCAGACAGTAAAGCATCCTTTAAAGGGCTATAGTGTATAAAGACCACCCATCTTTTTAACAGTTCACCATTTATATAAAGATTTTGCTTAATACAGTTTTGGATTCAAAAAGGTTTTACTTTTCTTAGTTTATATTGTAGAAATTTGAGGATAATTCTTTCTACTATTTCTTTTAAGTGTGAATTTCAAGATCATACTCAGGCTGCTCACAGTTGCTATAGAAACAGTAAATGCCCCATAAGAAATGAAAATATTTTTCATGTGACCACCGTTTATTGGCTATTTAATACTGTTTTTGAGAGTATGCTGAAAAAAAGGATGTAATTCTTAGCCTGAGCAGATTTGCCAGCATGAGACTTAGACTATGATTTGATTGACGTAGTAGTCATATGGAAACAAAGAAAATGTAGTGTCACACTTATCAGTGCTAATGACAATGTGTCCAAGGTTAGTGATAAGCTTTTTGTACAACACACACTGAATTCAGCTACGTACAATTTTGATTACTGCTATTTTGAATTAACTAAAGTTTGTATGCTTTTTTTCTTTTTCTTAAATGTGCTGCACCTGTATCTTCTTTTCCTTTTATACCCACAGTTAGGATAAGTGGTGAAATATTATAGTGGGAAGAAAATCTGGAGAGGACACACAAAAAATTTAGATTGTCTGCTCTATTCTGTACTGATATTCTTTATGTATGTGGGGAAAAAAAAGAAGAAAAAAAAAGAAAAAAAAAAAAAAAAGGATGTTGAGTTTGATCTTGTAATCAAAACCTATACTGATGTTTTGGATTTTTTTTGTTTGCTTCTGTCTCTTTTTTTTTTTTACCCAAGTGACTAAGGTTTCATTTAGACATGATAGCATCTAGTTTGATTTTATTTACATAGCCACTTAGTATCATGACTTGAAATTTCCATGCACATAATGAGAAGAAAATGAGGCTGGTTATGTCTTTTCAATAAAAGCCTATGATAGAACAGCATGTTACAGTTTATTTCATAACTTTTATTTTTCCAGGTACAACTGTGCCAGCATTGTTAAATAGCACTTCCAATCAGCTTTATCTACATTTTCACTCTGATATTAGTGTGGCCGCAGCTGGTTTCCACCTGGAATACAAAAGTAAGACTACTTGCTCTTTAAAGTTTTCTCAGGAAAAAAAGTATATGTGTAGATAAAGAGAGTGTTTATATTGTTTGTTTTGTGGTGTTTTTTGTTGTTGTTGTTTGTTTTGTTTTTGTTTTCTTCCTTCTCTGATTATCAACCTCTACTCAGCATGATCCTGGCATGAGTGATATTTATTAAATGAAAATTGTAAAGGAGGTGATATTTGAAATTACTGAAATTGGCATTCAAAAATTAGCAGTGTATAATAAATCAAGCTGGAAATTCAGAATGATATTCTAAAAATGTGTGTTTTAATATATATACATATTTTCGCTTGTTTCATCTTATTCTGAAATACAGGTAGCCACAAATTTATTAATTTCACTATTGGCCAACCTGTAAAAACAAAACTGATAACACCTTTTTTTCCCTGCTATTCCCTGTTCTATTCTTTCCTTCAAATTCCTTTCAATAAATTGATGCAATTTTTTCAGCACCTTTGGATGCAGTCTGTATGGTCCTTGTCCTATGGACTGAGTATTAATTAGTCTCAGAGTTGGTCCTCATCCACTGCTTCTAGTTCTGCTCCCTAACCATTGCCACTAAACAGAGAATCTTGGGAGTTCCTGATGATGAAGTCTGAGGCTGTTATGTCCCCTGTAAATCCCAGCTCCAGTTGAGATGTGTGACAGGCGAATGCTTCTAAACTTTATTCCTGTCAATCTGTCCCTGCCTCTCCATATTGCTTTTTTGCACAGGAGCTCTGCAGTAAGCTCCCTGATTGCTTCCCTGAGTATGAGGACCACTCCTACTGGAAACAGTACTTAACGTCCTTTACAGTTTCCTGTCCCTGAACTCCTTTGAGGACCTTCTGAGGCTGGGATGCCATGTCATCTGCCTACCAGCTCCCAGTCTACACATAAAATCTAGGGTCTGCAATCAACTATTTGCCTTCTTCAGTCCCTTCAGGATCTTAACAGACTTTAACAGGATCTTAACTGTGCATTGTCATGCTAGACCAGGCTGCCCAGAGCCACATCCAACCTGGCCTTGAATGCATCCAGGGATAGGGCATCCACAACCTCCTTAGGCAACCTGTTCCAGTGCATCACCACAGAGTGTGAAAAACTTACTCCTAATATCTAACCTAAACCTCTCCTCTCTCAGTTTAAAACCATTCCCCCTTGTCCTATCACTATTCACTTTCATAAACAGCTGTTTCCCCTCCTTTTTATACACACTTTTCAAGTACTGGAAGGCCACAATGAGGTCTCCCCAGAGCCTTCTCTTATCCAAGCTAAACAAGCACAGTTCCCTCAACATTTCCTCATAGGAGAAAGTTGGCATTACCTGACTGTGCCCTACAGAAGTTAACCTCCATCCCTTAAAACATTGTGAGTTGCTTTTTTCCACTGTTGCTTTTTACTGTGATGCTTTTCCAGATTATATCAGATTAAAATCTCAGATAAGAACTAAAACCTTTGATGTAGATATTTTCTTTACCTTCTGAACTTAAAATGGCTAACCCAATTGGATAGTTGAGTAGACTTTCCCACCACAATGTCGTACTTATTTCTTTTGACCCTGACCAAGAAACTCTCACCTAATCCATTGACCATTCCAAATGGGCACCATACATTTCAACTTCTTTACATAGAAGACTATCTATCTGTTTTCCTGAAAAGCTTATATCTGTCCAGCACATCTGACATGCAAGTTGTCCTATCACACTGAATTTTTCTGCTCAAGTCTTTCATTTATCAAGCAATAAATGTGTAATTGTGTAATTTTGTTAGCACTGTAAAGTTTTATTTTAGAAAGTTAATCTACAGTTAACATTTAGAACTTAACTTTTTATCTTTTATTGTATGAGTTTTACTATCCCTGTGATTCCTAAAAAAAAAAAAAAAAAAAAAAAAAAAAAAAAAGTATTTTATTAAAAAGTGAAAAGTATGTGGGTGCATTGAAGATCACTTGAGTATATCCTTTTTTAGTCTCCTAATTGCCAGTTCCACAACTTTATACTGCTAAAGCATCCACTGACTTCAGCAGTGCTAATATTTAAATGCTGGGTTTTTTAGAAATGCAGCTCAGTGCAGGTCAGGGTAACAAAATTCAACATTCAGAGCTTAGTTAACTATTCTGTTGACATTCTGTCAGGAAATAATAACTTGCTTTTGTGTGTGGTTATATGGTCCCTGCAGGGCTAACTGGATACCTGTGTGTGTCTGTGAATACTGAAAATGAGCAAATCACCATAGCAAGAAGTTACTGATTTGTATTGAACAGTCTCCTTTTTTAGACCAAGAAGCAGAACATGAAAATATTTTTTCAGTGCAACAAGGTGCAACTGTTGCTATTGTTTGTTTATGAATTCTGAAGCCTGTGATCATTCAGTCATGTACTGTTCGAAGCAGCTCTAGAAAAATAAACAGCTTTAGTTCAGAAGCCAATTTAAAATTTAGAATAAGAATGTCTTTTAGATTGAATTGCTTTTTGATATATTGTCTTACTAAAGAAGGCACAAAAATGTCTGATGTCTGGAAAAAAAATTTCAACATGAAATGCTGTATTAGAACATCAGATTTTTTTTTTTATTAAACCAATGGAAAAAGAAGACTAGATTCAGAGTGTTTTTATACAAGGTGCTCTACAGCTATAAAATTTAGGTGTTAGTTGCATTCTTTCATCTTGTTGCAAAAATTTGAATATCTGAGTAGTCGTAGTATGGGAGCACAGTATCTACTTCTAAGGCTGTTCTGTTTAATAAGACAAACTGAACAGCTGTAGCAGGATTTCAAATAGCCTCCTAAATACTAAGCAAAGTGATCAATCATTTAAATTCAGCTTATATTCAAACGTTCACTCAGAAATTTTGTATCACTTAAAATCAGATGTATAAAAAATAATTAACTGCATGATATTATGCCCCATTGTGAAGCCAGAGGCCTACACTTAATTCATTTAGAGGACAGAGGTGGATTTGTTCTTTCTAGGATGCAGGCTGTTGGTCGGGATACTTACGTGGGTGATGGAATACATGCTTTTTGGTTTTTGTTCCAGTACCTCACAAAATGTTATGGAATCCAGTTATAAAAGAGAGCTTGAGAATTTGTCTTCTTTGATCAAATTCTTTGCATGCCTTGAGTACAAGGGTATTTCCTTGAAAAGTACCAAGGTGATTCCAAACCTTTACAGGTAGCAAAAGGCCTTTTTGTAAGTTAGCAGTAGCTGTTTTGCAAGACTGCACTATGTTGTCTTCTTTCAATTTGTCTTTGCTGAGGACAGCAGAAAAACAATGGATTTTGAACACTGCAGTCCCCATTCATCAGTTCTTCACTTTATTATAGAGTTTGTAGTTAAATTCATGCAGTCACAATAAAAGGAAATTGAGTGACATATGGAAAAAATAATGTTTGAGAGATGAAGGACAAATTTCCAGAAATTTATAAGAAAGAAGTTTTCATTAAGACACTGGGAGGGAGGATCATTTAGAAACATTCCCTTCATCCCAGAAGAAATTTCAAGGAGCAATAGAAATGGAGGAGTATGTCCTTAAGCATCTATTAAATTATTTTTTCAGGACAGAAATTATTTATCTGGAATAGAAATTAAATATCATGCTTGTATTTTGGAAACAGTGGAAGGAAATTTCTACTTTAGAAATGTATTTTCATCAGTGTAGATGCAATAAGCATGCGTGGATTTAAGTTTGTGTGTTAAGGAAAATAGCTTTAACTTAGTAAAATATAATTAATTTGCTGTTGTTTCATCACATTTATTCCACACTGCACACTGCTGTTTTATTGTAACTTTTAAAAACTTCATAAATACTTAATAAATGCTTCAGTCTCTTTTCAAAGCTTATTTTAAATATTTCAAGTCAATTTAAATAATTTAATAAGTCTTGTTTTATTTCTTGGAACTTTGTATTCCTTTGTTTGGTGTCTTAATTTTGTCTTCCTCATTTGCAGATAGCAAATGAGTCTTCATACTTAGGATTTTTTTAGGTTTGGCGTAAGTATATAAATTACGCATTGGAATGCAAGTTTGTTGTCCAAGTTGAGTGGTATTACCCATTTTGTATGCTAGGGCATCCAATTACAGGTTTTTTGTTTGTTTGTTCATACTGTAAGAACATTTAAGAAGATCAGATACATAAACTCATTCAAATTAAGGGAAGGAATTGGTCTGTGCCTTAGAAAAAAATCATTCTGATTATAACATAATTGTAAGTATTATTGAGAGCCACTGTGTGGCATTGTTTCTTGTTATTTCAGAAGGGTTGTAGATGTTAAGCCTGTTGCAGTCATCTGTGATGAGAAACAAAGTGGTATACAACAGGTAACTGTAAGAAAGACAGGAATTAATCATTTAAGCTAATCTTTCCTATGCAAATCTTTTTCTCACTAACTATAATAGGATAAATAACATATTTATTTTCACAACTTCCAACAAGTCCAATCAAAATGCATCATTATATTTCTTGTATTTAACAGCATTAGGAAGAATAAATATTTCTTCTCTTTGATAGAATTCATTTTAATGTTAATGAACAAAGGAATCCACTATCCAAACATTCAGTTGTGTTTGTGGGCATTGATGTTTAAACTTAGTCCTAAAATCTCATTTATTGAATCAGTAGTAGCTTCAATATTTCCTTTAGTATATGAACAAATATGATATAATAAATATCAGAAAATATTGAATATTTGCTCATGCAGCATGCTGCTTGAACCTCTCAGTTAAAGTCAGTTTTGGTGTAGTAAAAGCTGATGCAGCAATCCATTGAGATAAATCCATTTTCGAGACTGGTCTGAGGAATGCAGTTCTCTGAGGAACAACTTGGGTTTGCTACACACCAGCACTAAAATAGAAAGGATTCACTCCACCTTAATGTTCGTATTGTAGTAAAAACCAGTGTGTTTCAGTTAGCTGTGTAAGGTGGGAGGAAAGAAGTCAAGAAAAGAATCCCCTGATGACTTTCGGTCAAGCTGTCAAAAAATTCTTGTATTGCTCAGTTTGCAGCTTTCTGAAATGGACACTAATGGGCAATCACATTGTCAGATATGCCAGTAAGGGTTTTTCTTTCTGCCAGCAATGGCAGTGATGTTTCAACAGAATTTGAGGTAATTGTAGGCATGTATATAATTGTGGAAGTAAGGCATGTTTGTCTTAGGCCAAGAAAGTATTTATCAGTCAGTAAGTGGAAGAAGGTCAGGGAGAAGATTATAATTCTTGACATTGATGTGTTGCTCTCTCTTGTACTGCATAGCTGAAGCAGAGCTCTGAAAAGAATGCACTAAGCAATCCTTGTCCTTTTTTGATAGCTTGGATTTGACATTTTACATGTTTTCCCTTTATTACTGACTGCTCACATACAATCTAGTTTAATGCATTTCAGAGTCAGTGGATGTGTAAGTTCCTTCATTTGTTCCCAAATACTAGAATTTGATTTCTCTCAAACATTCATTTGATTTTTGTATGAGTTGCAATCAAAATGTTTCAAATTCATGTAAGTTTGAAAATATTATGCATCTTGTACCATAGATTTTTTCAGAATACTGGAATGATAAATTAAATTAAATTAAATTTCAATTCAACTATTCCAAGTGAATATTGTTTTGCAGAAAAGAACAAGACAGAACATATTTTTGTTCACCTATTCAAAAATATATATTATAGGCTAGTATTATTTAATGATTGGAAGAACTGGGAATATTTTTTTCTGCTTCCAAATCTCTCTTTGCTTTTGAGGAAGTAATGTTACTTCTTAATGTTATGTACGTAAAATAAAATATGTTATGAATGCGCTTTGCATACTGGTATTTGACATACTATTAGAATAATCTATATTATAAATTATATCATCAAAGGGGTAGTGACAATAATATAAAGTATAAGCAAACAGCAGGAAGTTTTTACAAACTTTGAAAATCTGTTAAAATATGCAGTGTCTTACCTTATCTAACAGTTGCATAGAAAATGACTTTGAAGATTTTCTTTTGATCATAGTCTATTTAACTAAAGATAGTCTTTTGTATGCTATTTAACTAATGATAGAAAAAGCTAGATAATGAGCATATTATTATTAGCATTGCCATGCAGTCACTGTTACAAAACTATTTACGTGACTCAGTAAAATCTGCAATAGTAATTTTATTGATATATATTTACACTGCAGGCCTGTAATTATCATACAAAAGAATGGTGAGTTCAATCACATGAATTTTTTGATGACAGGAAGTAGACCTGAAATTTCTATTCACAGACTTTAAATTATCACTATCTATAAGCAATTTAGTGACATAGTATTTGTTGTGGGCTTACTTCTTTAAGAACAGTCAGTTTTAACGACATATTTTTTACTTTATTTGCTTATTAAAGAGTGAGAAATTTAATGAAATTAATAAATGTAGCTTGATTTGTCTGAGTTGTGTCTGTATACTGATTCTCAAGTTAATAAATGATACATCCTGTAGTAATTTTTGAAACTAGAAAATACCTTTCACTTAATATTGGAGCAAAAAAGGAGTTTGTGTGGGTGCAGATCATAGCTACTTAGTGCCCATATCCAAAGAAAATTTCCAGATGTGGATATATTTATGGTACTGTGAAACACAGAGTGATTGAAAAAAGCAATGATACTAGAAAACTGCAACTAAAGAATACCATTGATGTAATGATGTTTTCTCATACCTATGTGGAACAACACAGTTCATAATGACTATGAAGTCCCTAGTTGCCCATGTGAAGTCATTGTAACATCAGTTGAGAGATTCTGGTATTGTAGAATGTTATTATTTGTGAATTCTGTGGTAAAAATTATTGAACGTCTATATAGTGAGTTATTTTCCTAAATTAGACCTCGCATTAAAAAGTACTTAACTTTTAATTCTTAAATAATTATTTATGTGCAAATTAGAAAATGTTTAGTTGGATAATTCTTTCAGCAGTTGATATAAAGACTGAAAGTCATAGCTTGATAGCTGTCTCTAACAGTGGCTTGCCACTGTTACTGCTTGGTCCTGGAAAAAAAGTAAAATGTAAGAAGACTCAAAGGCACAAGACATAGAAAGAATGTGCATGAACCTAATCCTTGAACTGCAAATAAATAAATAAATAAATAAATAAATAAATAAATTCTTATATGCATATTTAAAATTTGTTATGCAATAACGAAATGTAGATGCATGAATTTGCATTAAGTTAAAACCTTGTTTGTATCAAAATCTGTAAATTGCATAATCTCAAAATTATGTTTTTTCATTAGGACTAGTATCTCAGATAGTATTTCATGATCTCAAGCAACACTCAGAAACATTTGAGGTCAGACTAGAGCCAAATATCATGTAATTTCTGTACTTAACACTGTCAGGTGCACTCTGTCTCCAAAGTGGTTGGATTCCATAAAAAAGCTAGTCATAGCATTCAGTCAGATGTTGCTGGTTTTTTCAGATGTCTGAACTTCTTTGCAGTTAATGGATGAGATAAAGTTGACTAAACTTGACCTTTGTCTCTAGGTATTGTTCCAAAATGTTCTACCAGATAATTTCACTAGTTCTCTTCTGTTGCTTGAAAGATAGAATATGCATAAAGTGTATTCATTCTTTCTCTCTCTGTTACCCTCACAAGAAAAAAGTATGGTGTTTAATATACTAGAATTACCTTACTGGTTAAAGACAAGACTAAGATTTAATATCTCAAAACAACATGACATAGTAATTGGTACAGTCATAGTGTATATATTTGTGTTTCAGTCATGCCAGTTGTATTTTGCGGGACAGTTCTGAAAATTCCCATGTTTTAAACAATTTTTCAGTTTAGTGTTGAAATACATTTTTAATTAATGTTCTGTTAAAATAAATATACATATATATAAATAAAAATAAACCAATGACATGGAAAGAGTTCATTCGAAAATATCAGCAAAGAGCTCCTGTGAAGTTATTTATGCTTTTCCAATCTTTGTTTTTACTTTCCTCAGCTGTAGGCCTTGCTGCCTGTCCAGAACCAGTAATTCCTAGCAATGGGATCAAATCGGGAGATAGATATATGGTCAATGATGTTTTGTCATTTCAATGTGAACCAGGATATACATTACAGGTATTTCTTTCTTTTTCTTTTTTTCCGTGTTTCCTTCTTTCTGTTTTTTTTTCTTTCTTTTACAAACTTTGAAATTGTATTTTTATTTTATGGTTCTTTCAAAAACTATGGCTGTCATTAAATGTTGATTCCAAATTATATTTTGACTTCCATTTAAAGACAATTAACCTCTTTCCATTTTAAAGTATCAGTGAATTAAGTATATAATGAAAGGCAGTACGTTACAGATACACCTGTATTACTACAGCCAGGACAAAGGTATGGGTGTTGAAATTTGATCATCAGTACTATTAGTTTGTGATCCTGTTTGTTTCCTATTATGGTTTTGTCCTAGTTTATGCATCACAGTTCAGCAATTTTCACAAACCAAAGACTATTCCTAATTAACAGTTTGTATCATGACAGTATGGTTTGAAGGTGATTTTGGAGGGAAAAAAAAAAAGGATGTAGATGCATGTAAAAGAATGTTATTTGGTCTCAAGGCTACAGAACAGCTCCAGACATTTCCACTAGTACAGGTGTTTTCATAGTTCTTTTTTTTATGCATTAAGCACATTTTATGATTTTTAATCCCTAGAGACAGGACATTCCACATTCTATTTCAATATAGTCTATCTTGAAATCAGCCTGTAATAAACTTGATTAAGCAACAATTAATATAATGTTATTGTAAAATGTGTTAGACTAAGACAAAGGTAAACACTTTCTGTCTACTTTTAGAAAAAATCCTGTTTGGAATATTTGTAGAGAAGGTATGTAGAATTCTTTAGGTATTTTTATTCAGTTCCATGCTATTGTGAAAGCACAGGGTCTGATGGTATTGCTGGTAGATCTGGCAGATATTTGCTGGTTTTGTAGTCTGGGATAGCTGCTTGGCACCTCATCACCATGGATCATCACCATGACCCATTCCACTGCTTTTGAGCCATTAAGTCTGAAATTTATATAGGCAAATATCCAATTACTGTGTGTAGCTGATGCCAGTGATCTGAGTGAACAAAGTGAGAAACTTACCTTATACTAACCAATTCCTATTGAGATGAAATTACATATAATCCAGTTTATTCCATCCAAAAACCTGAAATGTCTGTTTAAATTTGACCTTAGACATTAGAAATAAAGTTACCCGTCTCCAAAAGCTGACTCGCCTTAATATTATGCATTAGGACAGGTGCCTGCTTTAAAAAGCATTTTTCTTCACTATTTGGATACTCTTGTTAACCTTTCTATATTCTAACTTCACACTGATTAGATTTGACGGGGGTGACTCCTATTTGTATTGTCCATCATTGCATATTCTCCTCTCCTTACGTTTTCAGCTATGAAACATTCTGAGTATGAAAAAGGAAACGATTCCATTTTTTATTGTGTGTATTACATATAGGCAGACCCTTGAGATATAACCTCATTATATTTTCTGACTGTACTGAAAATAGTAATGCTTAAATCTTGAGGTGGACTGGTAACATTAGAATGTGAATACTTCAGAAATAGTAGGAATATGCATGGGAAACATTTTGAAGATATACATTGTTAGCCATGTCTTGATCTTCTGGATCAATTTTTACTTAAAGCAAGTACAAAAATCTGAGTTCACAGAATTACAGAATGGCCAGGGTTAGAAGGAACCTCAAGGATCATGAATCTCCAACCCCCCTGCCACATGCAGGGCCACCAACCTTCCCACCTAATGCTAGACCAGGCTGCCCAGGGTCCCATCTAGTCTGGCCTTGAACACCTCCAGGGACAGGGCATCCACAACCTCTCTGGGCAGCCTATTCCAGGCTCACCACTCTCGAGTTTGTGAATATAATATTAATTTAAAAGCAATAATGTGTTTCTATGGAAGAGATTTGTACATAAGAAACTGATCTGTGTGGTAATGCTAAGTTTTAGTGTGTGTATCACACTCACAAGATGTCCTTTGTACGTACACAGGTTTTTTCTGTAGCCCTTGAATATGCCTAACTGCACTCATGTTTTTATATCTACAGGGATTCTACAATGAAATTCCTCCTTAAAATTTCATTACGTATTGTTCATTAACTTAGACATGACTTAACTGTATTTCCACACACATACAAATTTAATCCTAACTCTGGAATCTGACAGACTTACAAAAAATAGATTCATTAATTTGTTTTAAGTGTAAAACAAAGAGTGTTCAATAACTAACTTCATAAATAAAGAAATAGGAAAGACTTTGAGCCTTTTCAAAATAATGTTGAATATTTGTATGTTATATGGACTTTTCTGTAGTAAAATTCATAGACACTTATGTAGAGTATGTTCCTGAGCCAGGATGAGTAAAAATGTCTCCAAGTAAAACATAAATAATGGAAGGTAAGTTCTATGAGATACAGCATGTTTGCTATTCAACGAGTGTAGATCAGCATAAATTTGCAGATCCTTTTGTGTGCAAGCTGTTTTTTGTTGGTGGTGGGTTTTTTTTTGTTTTTTTTTTCTCCCCCATTCTAGGTATGGATTTATCCTCAGTCTTTAGAGAACTTATTCACAGCTAGCAATAACAATCAGGTGTGGATTAGTTTATAATTGAGACTTCCAGAAAAGTCATAGAGCTTAAACTACTACCTGGAGATTCATAAGAAAAGTAATTGCTAGCTGTAGGATTAAGTGGCTCCCCCCAGGAGGGAACTTTAAAAGGCTGAAATCAGAATGTTCTCTTGGTGGAAAGAGACTTGAAAGCAAAGGAATAATTTTACTTTATTTTTCAGAAGATCTTTTATAGTCCATTTTATGTTTTCCTGACCGTGGTAGTTAAATTACTGCTCTCCCCCCCAGCAAAGACGTGCAATCATAGAATGGGAAGAGAGGATAAAATAAAATAGGAAATATTTAATTAAGTAAATTATTCAAGAACTTATCCACTTTGAAAGTAACTAAAAGATACAATAACTACATGGCTTCTTTTCCTTTAAATTAAAAATGTTTATAAGAAAAAGATTTGTTGTCAATTTTAATGAAATTCAAATTTTTACATCCAAACACATTTTTTCCAGTGTGATTCAGTTTGCATTTTAGAGATTGTCAAAATATATTTAACTAAATTTTAATTCAGATATTTTTTATCCATATAATTTAATACAACTCTGTATAAACCTTATTCATACCTACTTTATAGTAAACATTCCAAATGAAAGCAATTTCAATAAATGAATTTTCTTTTACCAGTTTACTCATTCTACTTTAATCATATATATATATATATATATATTTGAGAAATTGCTTTGGACAAGTAATAACAAATAATATTCAAATAAAATTTAATATTAAATTGCTGAAATATGCTACCTTACTAAATAGGAAAAAAGAGAAAGATGTAACTTCCCCAAATTCACATATCAAAATGAATAACACCAGAACTGAACCTAGCTCTCAGTCCCATGTCTCAGTCATTACATCAGTCTTTCATTCCTGCCAATTTATTCAGCTTTTGTATTCCAACAGCAGATAGCATAAACTGAGTTCTACAGAGGACTGTGCTGACAAAAAAAAAAAAAAAAAAAAAAAAGACTTTGCTTGTGCTACTCTTAAATTTTCAGCTTGAACTGTTGCTGGTGCAAGTAAAACTGGGAGTATGCAAGCATTATGTAGTCATTTCAGGGCAGCCATCCTAGCATACATAGGAATAAATTTTGCACATTAGAGCCATGTCGTTTTCTCACTACTAGCTACCATGTGATTCTGTTTGGTACATGTGATATTTCTTAAAGATAGGCAGGATAAATTAAAAATGACAGCTAAATAAAAAGGCATTTGTACTTCTGTAGCTCTCTGCCAAGATACTGCATGTATGCAGTGTGTCATATTGCGAGGGCATGTGAGAGTTCAAGCCCTACTGGTAATTGTGGATGACTGTTTTGGCATAATCCACATCCATACCATCTGTAGCAGCAGATGTGGAACAAATTTCTCTCTGTACTTCAGATTTCAGGCTGAAAGTAAACTATTATGCTTACACTGTGAACCAGGACCTTGGAGTTAAATGGGGAGCAAACTTATTTGTCCATGTGAATGCACATAGTTAGGTGGTTCTGTCTTGTAATGAGTCTTATATTTAGCCTGAAAATTTGAAGAGATTTTCAAGTTGTTGAAATGATGAGTGTTTTACAACATTTATTCAGTAGAAAAAGATGAAATCTCATGTATTTGAAAATAGTTTACAAGCAAGTGATTATATTACAGTTGGGTGATACATGAAAAGAGGGAGGTAGGATAAGGAAGTCCTCTGTAGAACTCTTTGCTGTAAGGTTCCGTTATCAGTATTTTTCCTTTTCCAAACAGGGCCGTTCTCATATCTCTTGTATGCCAGGAACAGTTCGACGCTGGAACTATCCATCTCCTCTCTGCATTGGTATGGCTACATACTTGTTTTCTGTGTGTTCTGAACATCTGAAAATACTTCTGTGGTTTTGTTTGTTTGTTTGTTTGTTTTTTGTTTCTGTTATTGTTTCTTCACATAATTATGTTTAATGTATATATAGTTTAAAAAATAATTGTGAAAATAGGTAAAGGAAACATAGATATCGACTGTTTGACATGAATATTCTACTTTGAATGGGGCTGAATCCTCAGAAAGGAGAAGGCAGCATCTGCTCTTTGCAGTGCACTGAGACTGGAAGAACCTTCTGAATCATAAGGCTGGTCAGGAGAAGCCTAGGAGAATTCTCAAAGAAGCAGGCAGTTTGCCTGCAGCAGAGAGCAGTTCAGAAGCCAAGCCATCAGAGATAGTGAAATGACAAAGAGTTGTAGGGGTGAAAAAGAGCCTGGCTCTTGTCATCTGAGAAAGTCGCTATAAGATGCTGAAATTAAGAAAAAACCAAAAAATTCCCCTTTAAGCACACAAAGATCTTATTCAGCAGATCTGTGTTTTCCCTTTGTAATGTTGTTCTATTGATTGGTTCTTCATTAAGCAAAATTTAAGAGAGAGTCAAGATTCTAATGTCTGTTGGAATGCTCATTTCTAGAAAAAAAGCAGAAATTAAGGGAAGGGAAGCATAGTTCCATCATCATGTTCTGTCACTTCAGCCTTGAAATACACTCATCATGAATGCTTTTAACTTTAACATTCAGTTAGCAAAGGCTGTTCTTTTTAACATCACTTAAAAGATGGGTGTGATATCCAACAATATCACTGTGAAATAGTTTTAAAGATTCCTTGTCATAGTTGAATCTACCTACATAGTAATTGAGTTTTCAACTTCTGCAGAAGCAGTTACTTTCAGTTAACATGAAAGCAGGTCAGTTCCTTCAAACGAGTTGAAGGAAAAGACATTTTCTTCAGTAGGTTGGCTTTGTATGTTTTTGTGTGTGTGTGAGAATCTTCATTTTAATGAAGATTAAATATAATTCCTATTTTCAAATAGTTCATGGAATTGTACTTTCTTGGAAGTGTAAATGGTTCCACAGAAACAGATAAACCCTTAGAACAAACCCATCAACCCTTATTCTTTTTTTTTTTTTTTTTTTCTAGAAATGAAAGAGAAAATTGTTTTGTTTTGTTTTTCACTCAATGCTGTGTTTTACATCACAGAGGAAGAGAGAGATTTGAGATATCTGAGACTGATTTTTTAGTTTTTTGATGGAGCTTTTCCAATTTAAATTCAATTTCTTATTTGGTCTATGTGGTTGATCATTCTCAGATTTTGAGTACAGTTATCACAATTCACAGTATCACCATTGTGTTACCTGATGGTACATCATTGTAATAGCTGACAGGAAGGCTAATAGGCTTGAGTAGTGTTGAATTTCCTCAAATAATCAGAATAAATTACAAGATTTTATTTAGATTTCTTATGCTCATCCTAAATGAGGCAAATGTCTTTTCCCTCTCTATGCACATGAACTTGTTAAAGAAAAAATACACAGACACTAAACAAGGCAAACTTTTTATGTAGTTAGACCATCCTTTCTGAACTGGAGAACTTGATTGCTTGCTTTGTTGTTTTTTAATTTTTTTTTATTATTATTATTATTTTTTTTTCACTCAAGGCATAGATCTGCGTCATGGATTCTGATCATAATTCCTCTAAGTCTAATTGCAGATCTGTTCCTCCAAATACGAAGTCCATTTCAACATAGCATCAGACATTTTTTATTACAACTGTCAGCCTGAGAAAATGGGTTTTCCATTCTATAGATGAAACTATAGAGTTACAGTAAAATCAAAGTTAATATATTGCATGAATTAAGCATTTTACTCTAACTTGAATTCTTTATTCTTTTTTTTTTTTTTTTTCCTCTTTCATGAGACTTGATAAATTTTGCTGCATGCGGATCACAAGGGTAAAATATAAAATTGTTTTTTGAAATAATCGTATTCCAGATATTAAGAATCAGTATTACCAAAGTGAATGGTGACTTTCTTTTTATTTTAATAGCTAAATGTGGTGGAACTCTGACAAACATGGGTGGTGTGATCCTAAGCCCAGGTTTTCCTGGAAATTACCCTAGTAACTTGGATTGTACATGGAAAATTTTATTGCCTATTGGATATGGTAAGCAAACTTACATCTGGAAAGTAGATGCATATGTGTAAATCTGATTATTATAAATAAAAATGTATAGTATGACACAGATAATATCCAGCTGAGTTTTGCAGAAATGTTTTGCAGTTTAGGAGTGTGTGTCTAGCAAAGCAACTTGCTATTTGTAAAACTCAATGTGTCTCAGAACCTGATTTCAAAGCAAATGAAATCTGCTGCACAGATATATCTTAGATGAAACAGATAATTTAACTTCTAATTTGAATTGAGGTATTCTGTTTAATATCCATTCATAGTTCTTCACGTGATCTTTTAACACTATTGATTATACGAAAATTGATAAAACTTTGTTTCTAGCACTGGTTAAAACATTCTAAAACTATAGTCCAACTCCCAGATAACAGTGGCCAAACAGAAAAAAATGGTTGCATTATAACCATTGTCAAAAATATCTTCAAAAAGAAATAATAATTGTGTTGAGAAGATAATCATGGATCACAAGTGATCTATAACTTCAAGTATAAAACATTCTTTTATTATCAGAAATAAAAGCTGCATAAGTTTTCTTGCTGTGAAACATTATCCCCTGTAGTGTGAATTCAAAGCTAATTCTCAAATTGGAAAATCTTTAAAAGCTTATATGAAATTCACTACCTGTCTCTGCAAATGAGTTTGTTTGCTTTCCATTTGTTTTGTGACTGGTATTTATGTAGTAAGATCTACTACTTACATCGAGTATGTTATGCTAAGTTAACTTGTAGACATACTGTAACATTACTGAGAATTTTGAAGTTGACTGTCATGTCTGAAAAAAAAATTAGGGACAGGTCATTGCATGATATAAATTGTTTTAGGTCTAATCCCCTAATAGGATAGTATAGCTGCCAAAACTAGCTAGACAATTACAAATTTAGAGAAAAAAACAGTGTGAAAATGTTACTGCCTACCACCTTTTAAGATTTTAGTCAGAAACTTTGTTAGAAATTGCTGTTCAATACTTTGTGCTTACTTACAAGAAATGTTTGATAGGAGTCAATGTAAATGTGAGGAGGACAAATTAGGAGAAAGACTTAAAGTATGAAAGAGTATGAAAGAGTGTGTTCAGTGATTTGCAACCCTATAGATACTTGAATTATGTACAAAACTACTGAATTTGGACATGTGCTATTATTGATTTTAAGTCAGACAACCTTTTAAGGTTTTGCACAAAAAGATATTCTGGGCTACAAAGTCATGTATATCTGGAGCTACAGCAAGATAGAGGAAAAAGTAATGATTAAAGATAATTCAACAGAAATCTTTAAGCAGATGCCTCTCATTTTTCAGTGTGCACTTGGTAAAACTTATCTATCAGAATTGCAGATAGCCTTGGGCTGATTTTTATATTCTAAAACTACACTTGCAGAAAATATGGACAAAATTTCATGGAATGATTGCACAAAAGTTTCTTGCATTCTATTATTATCCCTCTCACTTCTCAGAAATTTGTAAGTAGCAGTAAACCTAAAACTATAAAGAATGATTTTGTTTGCCAGTGGATTTAACGGGTAAAAGATAGTTTTGCAATTGGTCTATAATTGCTTTCAAAAACACTGGAAAAACACATTTTTTACTATGAAGTTGCTGCAGAGATTTTTTTCTTCCCGAAGTGCCTAAATAATCCACAGATAATGTCTTTACACTAGGGTTAGTCAATGTGATTGATATGATGTTTCACAGATAAATACCTTCCACTGCAAAAATCTTGGACAATATTTTGAGTATAAGTTTGTCTATTAGGACTGTTTGTCTACATTCATCCTTCATATCAAAATAAATCACAAAAAACAGGAAAGTCTTTCAAAATTTAATAAAGTTCCAATATCTGTTTTCAATTATTTTAATAAGATATCGAATTGACTGGCATTGTGCACAAAAAGTGAGCAAGAGGACTTGCATGACTGTGTACTGACTTGTTCAAACTCTGCTGAAATAATTAACCTCATGGTGACTTCATCTCATAGTAAATATTCCTTTACTTCCATCAATTTTTCTGATATTTATTCAAACTTTGTAACTAGATGAAGCCTGTGTTTTGTTGACTTAGTACTGGTGTGCTTAAACAAAGTCTAACAATAAGATTGCAGGAGCTGAAAATCTCTCAAAGTATACTTCTCTCTTCATTATGTGAAAATATACTGAAAGTCAAAAAGAATGCAAACATTTCTAATAGGTTGAAAGTACATCTTTTCAAGGGAGTTGTGATTTTTCAATGATTTCAGGTATCTTCCAGTTAACACTTATTATTTATTAAAAAATAGCACAGATAATTCTCGTCTATTCAAGCAAGCCAGGAAATCCCATTGAGATTAGAGTAGGAACTAGTACAATTGTATTCTTACTGGATAATAATTAATTTTCTTTAGCTGTATTGTGTATAATTTTATGTAAGCAATGATTTTGTGTAAAAAACACTTTATTTTATTTTAAAAAATGCTAACAGCCATATACAACAGTAGAATTAAGGTTTCAGTGATAAATATAGTGTGTCCTCCAACATATGTTGGAACTAACATAATTGAAAAACCTTTAAAAGTAAAGTATGTTTTTGTTTGTGCAATGTTTCTGTTAGCTTAAATTTTAAAAAGTTACCTTTAAACCTACTTTTTAATTTTACCTGAAGGAGGGGGCATCCACAACCACTTTGGGCAACCTGTTCCAGTGTCTCATTGTCCTCTCAGTAACGAATTTCTTCCTGATATCTAGTCTAAATACTGTCTTCCTTTTTATAGTCATTTCCTCTCATCCTGTCCCTTCATGCTCTTATAAAAAGTCTCTCCCCATCTTTCCTGTAGGCCCCCTGCAGGTATTGGAAAGCTTGTACCTATTTCCTAAATATGTAGGAAGTAGAATCAGCTGCTTGTCACTTAAAGAAAAAATATGATATCAAGGATCTGTCAAATCTCTTTAGAAGTCCCATGCTGTTATTATCAAATCACTGCTTTGAATCATTAAAAGCTGATGCTGATGACAAGATGTCTCCAAGCAGCTTGATGTTCTACCTCATCTTAAATCCCAAAAGCATTGTAAAATAGGTGACTTCATTCAAGTTAAACTAACCATATCAGACACCATACAGGAGATGTCTGATACTGAGACTTTGATGTGATCTGTATGGGTCTGTCTATCGATAGACTTAGAAAAAAATTTGCTATTCAGGAACTGACATATTCTGATATCTCTTGCACTGCAAAAAAGATACTAGTGCTAAATATCCTGTACATATGAACAGCCTAATGGTTTATGTAATGATTTATAATGATTTATTTATTTTCTCTTCTGTAAATATATATATATATATCCTTTTTGTGTAAATGATTAGATATCAAATCTCTGAGGAAAAGAAAGGAATTATAGAACAAAAAGTAATGAATTAATTACCCTTATGATTAATCTACCTGATATTCTGAAATGAAGAATAAGAGAGTCAAGGAGAAACTTAAGGCATTTAGTATTTCACATCTCTTTAATTCAGTAATTTTGTTTTATTCCACTCCAGGCTCTACAGAAGCCTGTCCTGCTGTAGAAAAATGCTATTTCAGCAGTAACTTAGCATTTTGTGGAACAGCAGGATTTATGATATGTTCCTTTCTTGAGTGCTTCCATAGCCTGGTTTAGGAACTTGACAAATACCAAGTTGCTGACTTTGTGGTTTCCTTTCATTGGTTCTTTAATGTGCAATTATTATTTAGAAGTTTATGACATGATAGAAACAAAGAAACAAACAAACAAAAAAAAATAGAAGCTTGCACGCATGCAAAACAACTGCTTGTCATAAATTTAAGTATCTTACTTTGAGTACTGACTGAAATATAAACATACTGCTAATAAGAGTTCTTATGACTTTTTTTGTGTGTGTATTTAAATGATGTAGAAATAAACATTTTTTTCTTTCCTTCCTTCCTTCCTTCCTTGTCTCTGTCTTTCTTTTTTTCTCACTTTTCCTCTTTCCCTCTTTTTTCCTTTATTTCTGTTCTTTTTGCTACAGGTGCACATATTCAATTTCTAAATTTTTCTACTGAAGCAAATCATGATTTTCTTGAAATTCAGAATGGGCCTTACCACACCAGCTCTATGATTGGCCAATTTAGTGGAATGGAACTCCCATCACCTTTACTAAGTACTACTCATGAAACACTTGTCCATTTTTACAGTGATCACTCAGAAAACAGGCAAGGATTTAAGTTGACATACCAAGGTGAGCTGGAAATATCACAGTGGAATTTATGGTAAAAAATGAAAACCAAAACTTCACAAGATATTTTTTAATTTACTTATATGATTTATTTGTATTTTGTAACACTTTAAAATGCATAGATTAAAGAAACTAAATTTATATTTTGTCTCATCCATAGGTTAAGCTCTTTCACAATTGAATTGAAATCTTGTTTTTATTGATGTAAAAGCCTGAAGCCAAGGTCATGGCTTCACTAAAGCCACGTAGATAATACCCTCCACCATCCTGTTTTAGTATACTGTTACTAGGCAATGCTATTTTGGCATAATACCAGATGATTTGCTGTCTTTTTTTTCCAGTTTAGTATCCTTACTATTCTTGACATAATGAATGAGGATTTTGAAGTAAAGTATGAATTGTTTTAAAAATTTTGACGAAATTGTATTTTTGCAGTATAGATATAGAAAAATAACAAAAAAATGAAAACTGTTCTGTATCTATTTTCTCAAATGGTATATTCAGTATTTGAACATGTGACACTTTTGTTGTCTTCTTCTGTTGGTTTTTCTATTCGTCTGTATGGCTTTTTTTTTTTTTTTTTTTTTTTTTTTTTTTTTTTTTTTTTTTTTCCCCCCCCCCCCCCTCCATCAAGGATGTTAAAATTTCATGATTTTAAACTGTTTGTGTAATACTTCCAGATTTGGAGGAAAATTTCCATTTTTGCTCAGCTAAGTTTTCTATCCCCTTCCACAGAAAGCATGCATTCATATTCTTGTGGTCACTACTTCATGACACTTTGAGCAAGGGGACAAGAAAATAATGTGTGTGCTTTTTAGTGAAAATATCTTTTGTATCTTTATGTCTTCTTGTGTATCTTGAAGAAAATGGACTTATTGTGCATGATGTTCAGTGATTTAAGCAAGGACACTGAAGTTTGTTGATGATTGTAGAAATGATCTTGTCCAGATCAAACTACATGATGACACTGGGGGGGGTTAATCGTGGCTAGAAGTCAGATGACCACCAAACAGTTCTCTCTTATGCCTGTTCCTCAACTGGACAGGAGGAGAAATTACAATCAAACAGCTCATGGGTAGAGATAAAGACAGGGAGATCACTCACTGTGCCCATAATGGTAACATTATGGGCAAAACAGACTGAGTTTGGGGAAGATGTAATTAATTTATTTCCACTTAATAACAGTATAGAGCAGTGATAATGAAAGGTAAATGAAAAACACCCAATTCCCATTCCCCTTATTCTACCTCTGCTCCCCATGTCGTGCAGGGGAATAAGGGACTTGGTCAGTCAATAACACTTCATCATCAGCTTCTCCTTCCTCCTCGTGCTTTTTCACCCATTCCATCACAAGTTCCCTCATGAAGTTCTTCATGAAATGATCCAGTGTGGGCTTCCAACAGACTGCAGTTTCTTCAGTAGTGCTGCAACATAGGTCTGTACAATGGGGTACATCCTTCAAGAATGGTCTGCATGGGTGTCCCATGGGCTGCAGTTCTGACCAGGAACCTTCTCCTTTGAGGCTCTCCACAGGCTGCATTTTCCTTCAGGTTACATTCACCTGCCTCACTGCTGTTTTGTCCAGTGAATAAAGGGGAATCTTTGCTCCAGTGCCTGGGGCAAGTTCCCCCCATTCTTGATGTCTGTAGGGTTTTTTTTTTTTCTTTCCTATTTTCTTACAGCTGCTTTTCAGTCGTTTGTGGGTTTTGATTGTTTGTTTGTTTGTTTTTCTGAAATATGCTCTCACAGATGTACAACCAATTTTGTATAAGAGACCCGTCGTAATTTAGAAATCCATTTATTATATTAATGAATTAACTTTATTGCATATTTTTAAAAGGCTGTTGAATTGAGGTCAGAATTATTCATTTCTTCTGTTCTCCCCTTCTCCACTGTGTCCAAAAACATTACTTTATGTGGTCAGAGGTAAATGACAATATGAGAAATATGTTTGTGTTTTTTTGCTTTACTTCAACCCTATCATGTTAATGTCACCTCCTTTTTAGAGGCATTGCTTTCTTTCTGTTTCTCCCATTTGCAACTTACCAGCTAATGCAGAAATGTTATCATGATTGACTCACTGATACATTGAAAACTTGTCCTCATTTAAATAGAGAAACAGGGATGCATGTAGAACGTGAACATTGCTTTATGAAATATTAAAAATTTAATTAGATAAACATAACATGAAATACTTCTTAAGTGAAGGAGAAAATTCTGTTGTAATATTTCTGACATAAAGGAAAACCATAAAAAAAAAAATCATAAAAATTTGGAAGCTTGTGTATTTTGTAATGTCAGAATTATATGACAAATATAGAAAAAAATCATAAAGCTCTAAAAAGTAATAATAATTTGATAAGAATTTACTCACTTAAGCAATTATCCTGATAGTCTATAGAGGATCAAAAATTTAGAGCCAGGAAAGAGATACAGTTAAATTAACTGACATTTGAATCATTTGAATTCCAAATATAAAATACAATCACTATTCAATACTTTGTTTCTTAAAATGCCAATTTCTAGATGGATTTATATTACTGAATGCATCCTCATGAGTGAGAAACTAAACAATTTCTGCAGTACAGACAATCATTCAGTTCAGTAATATGTAATACGCTTCACTTTTAAAAGCCTGTGGTGACTCATTCCTGAATGCTTTTTTGAGAATGCATTGTTTTAGTCTATGGATTAAGAAAAACATACTTAATATAAAACTTGAAAAAAAGAATATATGCAACAAAATACTCCCCTATAAAATATTCTAGAATGAATATTGAATTATTTAACAAGGTACTTATTGATTCTTTTTCTAGTGACAATTGTTGCTAACAGTGGTGCATTCTATTTCTAAGTGATTAGGATCTATGAAATAAACTCACTCTACATATCCTGCCACTTCCATTACTTCTTTTTCTGCATTCTATAAGCAGGATTTTTTCTTCTGCTCTTTCAAAATGAAATCTCTTGAATGTGTTTGTTTTTCTTTAGATAACACTAGTTCACTGCTGTGAACTAGTTGTTGCGCTTTCATTTCTCTGTCACTACCATTTCTCCTTTTGTAATTCTTCAAAAAATTACCATATTTTATAGTTCATATAAAACACAAATAACTTGACTGTCACCATGTAGAACATGTACTTTTGATTGAAGATATTCATAATCTAAGAATAAGATGTTCTTGAAGTTTTGTGATTTAGAGTATTCACCCTTCCTCTCGTGTTCTCTGACAGCAAATCCCAGTGGTTTACAATTGGGCAATTTTAATGACTGCCTTTATTTCTTTTTTTCATGCCAAGTGTATAATGGCTGCTTAAATTTTCTTCACACAAAGTGCAGGTTACTTTTAGTATTTGATTTTTCCATTCCAATCACACACCTTTCTATTTAGTTATCTTCCTATTTGCCTCTGAATTTTCCCACTTCTTTTGCAATTAGACTGCTGGATTTCTCTCCCTTTTGCTCAGTCTGTGGTTGCTGCAACTAGACTTCAAAAACTAGGTCTTTACTGCTCCAAAATATCTTTCTTTCCTTGTCCTTCCCTATGTCCTTCCTATTTCTGAACTCTGAGATCTTGCACTATTGGATACATACATGGCATATAGCCTATGATGCTTTACTCTTGATGGAAAGAGTATTTGTTATGTTTTAGGGCTTGGAAGTGCTGGAAATAAGGTCAGGTAATCCAGATAGTGCTTAATCAATGTTGTCACGGTTTTACGTTCTTTGGTTTTCAGTATTCCGCATCATAACATCATGTAGTGCACTGGGAGTTAAAGTGTTAATGCTCAAATCCCAGGTATATGTTCCCTGTACATTACGGAAGTCATGGAATCTAGCCCTTCTACGTGGAGCAGTCTCTTACTGCCTTGCAGTAGGTGCTGGAGGGTGCTTTCCTAGCCATTCAAAGCTTTTCAGGTTTGACTCAGTCTCAGGAACTCTCTCTCTCCTATCTTATTTGATTTATTAGTCTCAATTTCAATTAGATTGTATTATATTGTGTTATCTTGCATTCCAATATCATAGTAAAATAAGTTTTCCTCCATAGATCGTTGCCAGGTAAATTAAACAAAATAGCCTTTTGATACTTGATATGATTTCCAAGAAGCAAATTTCAAAAGTATTTAATTCCTTAAGGCTCCTAAAATAAGATCTAGCATTTAGTCCTTAAATAACAAGGAACAAATGGTTTTCAGAACTAAATAAAAATTGCACATAAAATTGGATTGTAAATGATATTGCAAACAGATGTAGCATTCACACACCAATTTTGACAAAGGATTAAACAGGACAAATTTATACTGAATTTGACAAAGAATTAGAATTTATACCAAATATTTAGAAAGTCCTGCTTTTCTCCTTGTTTATCATTTCAATAGTAATAAACTTGTAGAGCAAAATAGATGAATCTGAGGACTTGACATAGTTACACATTTGTTTCAGATTGCTTCTAGTCTATTTCTGAAGTCCCAATATATTATCTATAAGAAAAATTGTGGCTTTTATTTATCCTTAGTGTGGTTTTGCCACCTGTGAAAAGCAGCAAAGAGAAAAAGCAACCAGAGGTGTTTAGAAGAATGTTTTATTGGAATATTTGACTTATTAAATGACCGCTGAATCTCAGTATCTGAGGTGCAAATAGCCTATGCATGCAGGGGAAGATCTCACACAGAAGGCTGTGTCATAGAAGTCAGTTGAATTGCAAGTCAAGTTGATGAATGACAGGCTCAGGATAGATAATCTGCATATAGCTGGAGTGACTCATGATATTTGCTAGGTCAGGAGAAATAAATGATATGGCCTCTGAAAAATTAACTACAGAATTTAGGACACAGAATAATACTGTTTGTCTAATGGTTGAAAGATTGTGTCTTTTAACCCCTGGCTACAGTTTGTTATTCCAGCCTTTTAATATCTCTGAAACAGAACTTTTTCAACATAACTTTCTATTTTGGACTAACACTTCTTTATTGGAAACAGGTAAATATTTTATTTAGATAATCTTTACTGAGTGAATCATAGCTCCTATGACTGGAATTCATTCTATACTGAATTTCAGTATACTGTAAAGCTGAGTATGAGGTGAGAATCTCTCACCTTGTTACATTTGGAGAGCAGTGTGTTCCAAGAAATACAGCACAAGCAAATTAATGTACATATACAACATGATTTAAACGTATTAAATCTTACAAACCCTGTCTAGCAAAAGGATAATCATGATGGAGTTTTGGAGACAGAAGGAAAAAGGGATCTGCTGGAAAACTGCTTTTTTTTCTAAATATGATTTCAGAAGTTGTCCTAAGGAAGAAATACTAATGGAAGTCAACAAAATCTTATGACAGCTCATAGAAAATTATTTTATAACTCATGACAAAGTTAATACATGCTTTATGATTTTATTGCTGGTACATTCCATCTCCAAAAATAATGTTAAGTAGTACTAACTGTGAGCTTTCTTAACATTTGAGTGTTTGTGTTCTCAGTTGTCTGCTAATGCAATTTTTCTATAAAATAATTATTTCCACATTGAAGTGTAATAGATTTTTGTAGTATTTGCAAAATAAGTCAGCCTGATACTAGTGTAACAGAAAATACATTTAAATCATAAAAGTAAGATAGCAGAGAATCAATTATATTCCTTGAGTGATTTATATTCTTTTTTCACCAGTGCAAAATATATTGCACAAAGAAATGCAAAATGTCAATACAAGAGATCATTTTAAAATTCAAATATTTGACAATCTACATGGCTGGAATTCAATCTTTCTCACAGATTTCCTTTATATTAGGATTCCTTTCAAACTTAAGAGGTTGCTGTTTGTTTTTTTTCTGCTGTAAATATATATATATAATTTTATAAAATTGCGGAACTGTATGTAAGGCCTTGCAGAAGCCTGGGTCAATGACATCAGTTACTCTTACTTTGTCTACCAAAGCCACACTCCATCATAGAAGGCCAATGAATTGGTCAGTCTGCCCTTGGTGAAACTCTCCTGGCTGGCTCAGATCATGTCCTCATCTTGCATGTACCTCACCATAGCTTCCAGGAAGGTCTGTTTCATGATCTTCCCAGTCACAGAGGTGAGACTCACTGGTGTGTAGTTGCTCACATTTTCCTTTTTACCTTTCTTAAAAACTAGAGTATTCTTTTATTGTTTATTTATTTATTTATTTTATTTTCAAAATAGATTTTTACATACTTTTATAATTTAATCTTAGCAAGTTCTTTTATTTTAAATAATCTTTCTAGTCTTCTGTTTTGTTGAAAGATGTTGATAATGTAGTCATAATGTTGTTCATGATATTAGCTTTAATAGTGCTATCTGAATAATGATAGCAAGAGTAATAATAATTAAAAGTTAATGAGATTTAACACAAGATTTTAATGAACCATAATTTTTGCAGAAGATGCAAACCAGATTTTTTGCATCTTCTTTTCAGTAGCAATTAATTCTGATTGTTAGGCTTTAATTATAAAAACAAACAAACAAACAAACACCCTGTTTTTTGTTATTTGATGGCATTTGATCTTATTTTTTTGATGATTTTGGGATAGTTCTGCAACTTGCAACATGACAGTACCTATACTTCAGCGAAGCAATTAAGTACAAGTTTTACTTTAAGTAGGCACTTAACCACAACACACATAATGTTTTGTTTCATTACACTGAAATGGATTGTTTAAATAATCTAAGTGATAGTAGTAAGTAAATATTCTTATATTGAAGATTTATATTGTTATATTTAGTTTTAGCTAAATATATTCTTATATTTAGCATAATTAGCTTTGAAAAAAATAACAAAATACTTTAAATGTATGATCTTCATCTCTCTTACTGTACTAAATGTACATGGACAAGCATGGACTTAAACACATATGTTTATATTAGCTGTATGTTTTTAGAATAACTTCAATTATGGTGCGTTTGAACTTTCCTGTCTTCTGACAGCAGTATTTCATAACTGTAAATTGAATGCACAGTATTCATTTTCTCAATATTAGGTACCTAACAGACAGTTACTTGCTTATCCTATCTATGTGAAATTGCTTATCTATGAATGATTCTGTGTACAATTTTCACAAAACTCATCTTTTTTTTGGTTCCTGTAGAAGTACTCATTATTTAAATATTTTAAGGAATATACCTCCAATATGCAAAAATGTACTTTCACATTGTCTTTGTATCTCAGTGACTGTTATTAATAAAGGCTCTCTATGAATGTTCATCATACTATTTTGTATTAATTAAATATAAATATTTGAGGCCTTTGAAAACATAAACTCCAACGTTGTATATGAATCATTAACTTGGAGATATCTCTAGAAGGAGCATTTTCCTTGATATATTTTTGTTGATTTTCGGGATCTTGCTGATTTTCACTGACTTGGTACTCTTCCATTAGTTCTCTGTCTACCTTTCTTTGGTCAGATGATAATTTTTGAATAACATAATACATACAAAAAAGTTCATGACTTGTGAAAATGCTACATTTCATAACATTTAAATGAATGAATGATGTTACATGTAATTAGAATAGTTACTGTACTGTTTATGTGTGAAATATTTCTATTTCAACAATTGCTATGATTGTATACTGATTTATTGTTGAACTCATTTACAATTTAACTGATGTACAAACTGTGATTTTGCCAGTCAAATAAAGTATAATCCATCGTTGTAATGCTCAGTTTTTCTAGTCTGGGTTGCCACACATTGTTCATATTGCTGAAAAAAAAAAAAAAAACACCAAAAAAAAAAAAAAACCAACATTATTATTATACTACAATTGCATTCATTCTGACTATAGGACACATATAACAGAAAATTAATATTCTATGAAAAAAAATTGTCTCAAGTTCTTATGCTGCTATGCATATATATGAGTTGTATAATTAGATATTAATTAAAACAAAAAAGGAAAATTCACTGTGAACTGTTCTGTAGATAGGCACATTTTTATAAAAATAATTTAATTTTAGACATCATGAAAATATTAATTTTCCTAAATCATATTACCATTTCTTACCAATAGATATAATACCATAACTCTATGGTGTCTTAATTGGAATGAATTGTATTTTCATTTATCAGAAAAGAAAAAATAACTGAAAAATTATGTGATGAATTTTAATCTGAACAGTAGTACTACAAAAGTGACCACTTATTGATTTTGGTCAAATTTATTATTAGTTTCATTGTGTGAAGCTTTGGAATGCAATGTGATTGCACCTAGAAAAAGATTGTTTTGATTTTAGACTTCATAAATTTTAATGGAGGACAAATCAAGTTTAAGAAAATGTTTGATCTGCTCATAAAATTGTGTCACAGTGACGTACTCTATAACCATCCTATTTATTAAATGAATGAATTCCATGTGTCTTGGATATTGTATTATAAAACTATTATTTCCCAGAACATGTGCACCAGATCTGAACCTAGAAATTTATTGGACTAGGTGATTTTTGATTGTCCTTTTCAACTGAACTTTTCTCATTCTATTCTATGCTGTGCTATTTTATGCTATGCTATTTTATTCTATGCTATTCTATTCCATTCCTTTCTACCATTACTCCTAAAAGGCACAAGTAGTTCTCATGTTCTGTTTCTCTCTACTGACAATAGAGAAAGTCCAAAACAAATGTGACATTATGCTTAGGCAGTTGGATTTTATGATCTTTGAAGATCTCTTTCAACTTAATTTTTTCTGTTTTGTTCTAAAATAGTCATTCATTCTATTCCAGATTTTGACTTTTCCTTTGCTTTGTCTCAAGCTCATTCTTTGATTCCTTCATCAAGATCTAAATGGTTCAAATGGGTGATTTTTTACTTATTGATGTGTGTGTTATTCATTCTGGTACGAAATTTTGGCATTACAGTGTTGACCCGTTATGAATTGCATTATGGAATTTATATTAATGGCTACTTCTTGAGAGATGACTAAGCATTAAAGTACTTTTCTCTTCCAGCTTACGAGTTACAGAACTGCCCAGATCCTCCTCCTTTTTTGAATGGATATATAGTCAACTCTGATTACAGTGTAGGTCAGTCAGTGTCATTTGAATGCTATCCTGGATATGTTTTGAGGGGGCAGCCTGTTCTCACATGCCAACATGGGATCAACAGAAATTGGAACTATCGTTTCCCCAGATGTGAAGGTAATTTTCTGGTAGTTTGCTTGCTTCAGAACTGATAGTACTTAAAGACTTTTGTTTACTTATTTGTAATGTAGCTTTTGCTGAAGAACTGCAGTGTTATGCTAATCTGTAACATAAAAAGCTAAAGCCCAGATAATATTTGTCAGGCATGTTCCTTAGCAGTGATTTATAGTTCTTAATAGTGTCTTTCAATTTTTTATTGATTATGACAAATGATTTTTTTTCTTCTTTTTTTTTTTTTTTTTTTTTTCATGCGTGATTTTGTTCATTTGTTTTGAGTAGGACAATGTGCAGTGTAGCATATAAAATTTTCCAATGTAATGCTTTTTCCTAGACTTTAGGTTTTAGATAAAAATCTAAAAGATACAAGTGCAGAAACAAAAATTTCTAGCCTTTCATTTAAAGACTTCAGCGTAGGATTTTATGAAGAAACAGTATCATTTTGTAGAATTGAAGTGTAGTTGTAGCTAAACAACCAGCTAGGAAGAATTAAATCAGATCAAAATAAATGATTGATTTCTATCAGAACAGGAAATTAATGGTTTTGCAGGTTTCCACTGAAGGGTGAATGTTTGATAATGATTGGGTATTACAAGATAGGAAAGACACTTCTGTACACAGAACATACAATATATTTTAGGTTAGTCAAACCATAAAATTTAAGTTCTAATTCAGTAATATTTCATGCAATCTACCATAAACTGTTCAGAAATCTAATAAACAAAATATGTAGAGGAAGCTGAAAATATTGCTTATTTCTTGAAATAAAAAGGATTTAAAGAAAGAAACAGTTTAAAAATGATTTTTAAGGATGAAGGTTTCCACAGATAATAAAATTTGTCCATTTGTGATATATATTAAAACATAAAGACAATTTTAAATCCCCATTTTATTTTTAAAACAGTATTTATATAATATTATCAAAAATTAGTAAGCTAAGAATTATTAATCTGTTTCTTTTTAGTTTGAACTGTATTTTTATGCAATTCTCACATAGACATTATGGTCTGACAAACTTCAGGAGAAGACATAAATGTAACTTATTGGAAAAAAGTAGAAGAGATTATCACAAAAACCTGAAAGTGAAAAATGTAATAAAATTATTGAAGGTAAATCTGTCAAATAAGAAAAGTGTTAATGTTAGTTATGGTGTAAAAACCCTCTAGCACTGATATACTTCTCAAAAACTAGTAAATGCAAATGAAACAGAAACACTATTTCCTTATAAATATTTTAATTTAAAAAAAAATGTTTTAAATTAAAAAAAAAATCATAAAAATGTACACCATGTTAAAATATAAACATGTGCTTTTTTGCTGATTTGGTACAGAAAATTATTTAAAACAACTATAGCTATCTTTTGACTAAGATTTACCTATTAGGTAATTTCAGGTCCTAATGAAGGATATATGCTTTAAATATTGCTTCTCTGAGCTAACATAATGAGTGACATGGATGTAGATTTGTTTTGATTCTTCAGCTGTTGAGAAATTGCCTTGAAATTTCTTTTCAAACCTGATCTGGAAAATTGTTTTTTATGTCATAGTGAATTAAAGATTTTGTGAAATAGGTGTAGGTATAAGATAGAGGCACTTGGAAGCAGTTCTATAAAATAAGTAAAATAAGTTTAAATAATCATCATTTGGGCAGTAGGACTTGAAGAACTGATAGCTAGTAGCACACATTTAGCACCTGTTGTATCATGTGCAATTTATTTAATGTGAGCACCGTTAGAAGAATTTAACAGGGTACATGAAGTTATAGCTCAGAAGTACTAAGAGTTTGTAAAACATGCAGTTTTGTGTAGTCTGATGCATTTTAATAGTTTTGTTTTTCCAATATGTAAACATTATTTGTTTGTTTGTTTGTTTTCCTTCACAGGAAGTAGATGTATTTGTTCAGAGTTATACATTATTTGCTATATAATATTCACAGTGCTACTACAGATAGTAGTTTTGACACGAATAATAATAATAAAAAGTGGAATAACACATTTTAGGTCGAAAACTAGTTCAAAAATAGAGCACAGGAATGGAGATTCATTCACTTTCATGTATCTCCCAGTTCTGGGAAAACGCTCATATTATAAGGAATAAACATTTTTTGAAAGGACCTATGCCCCAAATCTATGTAGGGAAAGGAATAACTGTGGTTCTTCCTAAAAAAAGAGATTTTTTTTATTTTTTTTTTCTCTCAGAGTTAATTTATGAATTAGATTAGCTTCTTAAGTATCCCAAATAAAAGATGCATTCTGCTCCTGGAAAATACTGAAGGAAATTGGTTTTTTTTACTTAAAAATGTTTTGGAATATGAGTTTCATGCCTGTCTCATTTGGTAAGTCCATAAGGATCAAATAAACTCATGTGGCAGTATAGCTGCACGATGAGAGGTTGCCTTAGAAAACAGGTTTACATAAAGATGAGTGAAATGAACAACTATCAATGTATTTTTCCTGGAAAAGACAATGGAAACAAATGTCTGGGTTGAGCATTTGGCATTGGGATGAGAAAGACCATGCTCATGACATCAACAGTTCAATTAGGAAGTGGTACATTTCTGAATATATGGGATTAATAAATTTTGCTTTATTTTCATAGTAAAGGGCAGTTTTATTGCCAGAAATGTATGTTGTTTTGCATTTATAGACAGTGTTTCCAATATTGAATGTTGCTGGAAAGTTTCTAGCGTATGAGAGAATGTGTGACTTCTATATAGTCAATGAGTACTACTACTGTCAAACGTCAATCTATTCTGTCTTCCCATTTTCCTGTTTTCTTAAAAAGAACTACTAAAAGAAAGTGTGTGCATTTTTCAAGAACATGAATTTCAAATGAAGTATGCTAATAATTTCACAATATTAATTTGCCTTCAGGGAAAAACGCACATCTCAAAGGAAAAAGATTGGAAAGGCAGGAGAAAATATACTTCTTTGAGCAAATACTTTCCTTACAGATTTACAGTGTGAAAATACATTACATCCTTGTCATAGTAGTGGATTATAACTCATAATGATATATATATGTGTGTATATATATATATATATATAGTTTTTCTGGGAAAGATTAAAAATTTTCTTCTGGCATATTTATATAAAAGATGGGAAATCTTTTATATAGATTGTAGAAATGTAATCTCCCAGACTTTGTAACTAAAAGTGTAACATTCTTTTTATGTTATCTGTGGTGTTGCTCTGAGAGATTCTATTTCTGTTGACTACTACAGCTAATTTCCGTATTTATTTTAGAGGATTCCTTTAGGCTAAAGCATAGTCCTGAGCACTCCAGTTGTATATTTCATTCAATATGATCTGCAGCTCCAAGTGACTTTTTAATTTAAAAAATAGCAATTTAAAAATTATTTTTCCTTTTGTTTTTAGAAAAAAATATTATTTTTTAATTCTAAAAAAAATAATAATAATCAAAGATGAGGGAAGTCTGTTCAAATAACTTATTTTTCTTCAAAGGAGATTGGTTTAGTGATTCAAC